AAAACTACTAAACCAAAAAAGTATTTACAAAAAATATTATAAAAAATAAATAAATTTTTATTTATACATAATCACACTCAGGAATATAATATAATATGAAAATCAATATGTAGTGTTCTGTTCCACTACTTTACTTACTAGCAAAATGAGGAAAAATGTGTACAAATCCTTAAACACAAAAGAAAAACCGTTCGAGGATCCACAAAAAAAGCAGCAATATGGCTTATGAATGCTTTGTACGCTTCCAGCAAAAACTGTTATTTTTATTGTTAATAATAATTTTTAGAATATAATATAATTCACATGATAACGATTTATTTACAATTATAATTACAAACAACACTAAATAAACAAATTAAAAATATTATATTTGCATTTAAATTCAATTTATTATTTTTTTACAAAACACTATTTTATTATTGCGAAACTCTAAACACGCGCGTCCGTGTTTTCACTTCAAAGTTATAAAATCGTATACAAGAATTTTTTCGTTGTATCCGCCAACTAAATTTGCTCTCATTAAAAAATTTTCTTTTTTGTAGGTTCTTTTCTTTTCTTTTGTGTTTGGCTTTGTTTTTGACTTTATTTTCTATGTTTACAATATACAAAATGCTGATAAAAGAAAATCTCTTGCAAATGCTATGCTTACATATAAAAAGCTAACATTTCTAAAAGCTGCTTGCTGTGTATTCAGTGTTTTTGACGAAAGCTTTTTTGTAGGCGAAAGCATCCTTTGTGTTTTCATTACGCACAATATTTTTGTAAGTAAAAATTGTTTGCAATTTCTCAAGAAAATTTCTCTAAAACTGTTTTTTTGTTTTAATAAATTTTTATAATAACATATTTAATTGTAAAAAGAAAAGAATATAAAAATGAGATATAGAATAAAATTTCTGGTTAATAAATACCAATTTTTTATTTGTAAAATTTTAGTTAATAAAATAACATTTTAGAGAATATAGAGGAGGCATATTAGTAATTACATGAACAAAGAGACATCTTAATGATTTAATCATATTATAGCTATTTCGTTAATTAACCACATTATGGCCGTGTGCGAGTTTAAGTAAATTGAGTTAAAGTAAATTGAAATTTTCTAGGGATTTTAAGCACTGCACTTATTTACATATATTTATAATTACACTTATTTATAATTTTTCTGTTAAAAGTTTTCAAATTTATTTATTTATTTATTTAACATCTTATAAAATTTTCACAATGGTTATATCCAATTTTTTCCTATTTACCCTACTTGAAATTTTGGGAAATACCAACATCCCTGCCATACTGACATAACATCTGATGTTACTGATGTTCCCTCAATTTACTATCAATTTACTTAAATTCACACTGTCTAATTTAGGCGGTTTTTCTCATTATAGTCACTAATAAGAATGATTTACCATGCAAATGAAATTAAAATAATTTATAAATTATATAAATTAGCTCATTATCAATAAATCAACTCCTTTAAGATGAAAATTGTCGAATGCAACTCTTAAAAACGAATTTCCCAAAAGGATAATTACTAAAATTTTAAATATATGTCATATGTTTTATATTTAAAATGTAAACAAACAACAACTGATCTGTAAACAAAAGCACTGATAAAGTAAGCATTTAGCATGTATATAAATGATATAACATATCAATATAAATGAGACAATATGCATGTACTATAAATGATTTAAGCGTTAGTGTCAGACTTTTTTATATTATCCCACTGTTTAAGAAAAATATCCCGGTACTTGAATATTTATTTATGTATTAATACAATTTTAATAACTTAGTCCCTTAAAAATAGTTGAACTCCTTTATTAATTGCAAATACATGTAAAATATTAAATAAAAGATTAAAATCGCAAAAAAGAAGTTTTTTAAAAAAGACTCACGAAATTAATTGTTCCACTGTAAGTTTACAACCCTGGATTTACTTACTTATTCTTATTCTTGCAATATATTGTGTGATATTATTGAAAAAGAAATGTCGTTATGAAACGCAAAAGTTAAATACTTAAAACATACGAAATTTCCCACTTTAAAGCAATACAAAACTGTTAACTATAATATACTTAAGGTATATTTAGATCGGACCCGGCGTTCGATGAACATTTCCATATAATAAAAAATTTTAATTTTTGCAAGGAAATATTCACAAATACTTTTTTTCAGGTTGTCATAGTTATCTCTAATTAAACAGAGGTCAAAAAATATATATTTTTTTGTAGATAACCACTGTTTAACTTTTTTTTAACGGTGGGTGAAAAGTATTGAAAGACACAAAGTGTGAGACTTGAACCCACTAAAATCACTTCTTAGAAATAAAAAAAGAACAAATTTCAACGTAAAGGTCAGAACCTCAAACCCTGTTCCAGTTATCAAGGAAAAAGCAGACATTCTCTGCATGAGAATATAAAAAACATGTCAGGATGACCAACCGGTCTAATGTATTGTGTAGTAAATAAACAATAAAAATAAAGTGAAATATTAAAAATTATATGCAAACATATGCAATAAAATTTAATTTAATTACAGTGTTATTTTTAAGTTTATATATAATGTAATTTAATTTAATTTTTTTTATTATTAATAAAAGACAACTGGATGTTTTTGCTTTCTGAACAAAGCTCCAATTTGATAAAAACTATTTTTTATCATAAATAAATGCATTTAATATATTAAAATCTTTTAGAATTATATATATTTATTAATTGAATTAAAAACAATAAATAGTTTTATATTACCGATTACCGTTTATTGCAGAAATGTTATCTTTTAAATAAAAAAAAAAATTTTTTTCAAAATATAGATTTATACCATATGTTGAAATTTATATTAAAATTAATATTTAAAAATGTTTAATGTTTTTGTTTTGATTTCTATCAATAACTTTCCTTTTCTCTTATTTTAAAAGCTTTTAAGAATGCCTACTCAATATACTCGGCATTGCTCTCATTTACTCATTGGTATTTTGTATTTGCATTTGTAGTTGTATTTATTTGTTTGCTTATGCTTTGATGCTTTTTGTTTACATTTTTGTGTTAACAAATGGAATTGTGGGAAATGCTTGGGATAGGAAATGTTTGCAAGTAACGCGCAAACATTGTCTTTATTAAGTGCGAGCAAGGAGAGTAACGTAATATTTCAGTGAGGTAGGAAAATGTGTGCAAAGAAAATACAAATGGAAACTAGGCTAATGTGTTAAAAACACACATTAATGATGATGGTACCATAGATTTGATAATATTTACTACACAACACTGTTTTTGAATTATATAGATATATGTATGTATATTAAGTTAACCTTTGTGTATATTATTTTTTTGTATATATTTTTCAAAAATATTTTTTTTTGTACTGTACGAAATTTTTAATAAATTGAAGTAAAATCCAATTTTATGATTAAAATCTATTCATATATAAGTATGTATGTATAACAACAATGCAGTTATGTATATTATATAAAAGGAAACATACTTATAATTACATTTTTAATAAATTTAAATATTTATATGAAAGAACATGATGCACTTAATTTTTTTCTGCTTTTAATTTAAAAAACCCGATATGAAGTAGTTTTGAGTAAATTGAGGTAAAGTAAATTAAAACTTCCTAGGGATTTTTTACATTGCACTTATGTAAGTATATATATATATATATATATTTATTTATTGCATTTAATTATTATTTTTGGTTAAAAGTTTTCAAATTTATTTATTAAACATCTTATAAAATGTTCACAATGATAACACCTAATTTACCTAATTTTTATCTAATTTACTGTACTCGAAATTCTATTAAATACCAACATTCGCTGCCATACCGATATAATTTACTATTTCCCTCAATTTACTCGAACTCGCACATGGCCTAAATATATTTGATAAATGATTGAAGATAAAAAAATAATTTCCTATTTCCCTCAATATATAATCAATTTACTCGAACTTGCACACGGTCTAAATATATTTGATAAATGATTGAAGATAAGGAAAATTTTAAAAGAAATCAATTATTATCTATTTATTTACAAAGTCTAAACACTATTATTGATCACATTATTTAATTAGAAGCTGCTCAGTACTGGTCTGTTTCTAATTTGGGAAGTATGCTTTTGTAATTGTTGATATAGTAAAAATATAGAAACACGAATCCATGTACAATTTGTTATAACAACAATAACTGACAAAGGACTCGTTTATATAATAAATAGTAGTCAATATATGAAATATATTCATAAAGAATAAGAAGTATAAAGATTAAATTTCCTATATATATATGTCAAATATGTACAGACTAATAATAAATTAGAATACATAAACAAAAATATATGTACATACGTTATATTATCCAAGTTCAAGACGTCTATATATACTCATGTCATCAATACAATTTAGTGTTTTACTTGGTGTTATCACTTGAAACAATAGTAGGTGAAATAAACGTCAAAAATATTACAACAAAGATGATGCTATCTGAAGAAAACTAGATCGCCATACCCCATAGATCGGAAAAAACATGATCTAGAAAATGGTCAATTTTAAAAAAGAGAAAAACAAATAAACCTAAGCGAGGCCTGGACGTATGCTAACGAAGAAAAACAAAAATTTTTTAATGGAAAACCAACATAGGGATAGTTTCAGGATAGAAACGGTCTAGTACATGAAGGGGATTGTTTTTAGCCCGTGCAAACCGGGCGACATAGTGACGATGTGATAGGCATTCTTAAAAAAAGTTCAATTCTGAATAAGTATAATTTAAGCAAATACCTTTAAATAGTTTATATATAGTCTAGAATTATATTGACTAATTCGTAAAGATTAAAGAAATATTTTGAACATAGCAACTCTATTCAGTGCTATAATTAACCTGTGTAATTTTTATTATACTACTTATTATATATAAATGTATATATAAATCTGAAAATATACATAATAATATATAATTTAAGTTAAACACATAATTGATATTAATTTTATCAAATATATTTAATTCAACCAACTTATTACATATTATTAGAATTATATCGAGAAAAAGGATCTTTTCCATTTTTCCAAATTTATAAATGTGTCAACACATATTCCACAGACTAATTTTAACGAAAATTGTATCAAAAAAACCATATGATGGTATTAAGATGTTTTTATGTTTACTGCACTATTACAGACTATTGAACATCTACTAAATCATGTGACTCATTCGAAGTTATATTTTTAATGGCGACTTTTGCAACACCACTTGGACATTCCGCTGAACCACCCATTAAGACAACAAACATGCCATTCTGTGCTACAGACTTCCATAGTTTACATATCCATTTATCAATTTTTTCAGCAGTTCTTGGAACAATATCTGGTAACAAATGCTCTTCTTTGATGCGTGAGTTGGTTATTGTCAATGCATTATCAATTGCAATTTGGCGCGCTATATTTATTGCAGATTTGTTTGAGTCTAGTTCGTATATAGAAATAGCAGTATTCACATTTGGTTCAGTTGCTTCCTCCGCTTTTTTTATGCTGTGCTTTATGTCATCATTTAAGGTGCCCACAGTTACTATAGCAGTGCGTTTATCACTCTGAGTAGCATGCGCAAGCATATTATTCTTAATATTCTCAGAGTTTGCCACACGTAATATTTCACAGTAACGTTTCCTTTGTATTAATATTTCGTCTCCAAATTCTAAACTGTTGGCTAGTTTGAGTTTCACAAGTTTTAAACTTGCCAATGAGTCCTCAACTGAATCATGACCTGCAATTGTAATTTTAAAATTAATGTTTTTTCAAAAACAAAAACCATATATTGCTTACCATCGCCATATTTTTGTATACTTTCTTTAAGAAATGTTATAGCGAGCGTTGCTAATTTTGATTTTCGCCTACGTTCGCCCGTTAAATTAAAGCAAACACTTGTATCAATAACATATGGATGCATCATTCTCATAGCATTTAAATCGCTGTTTAGCGATTGCCCAATAAGTATAGCATCTGAAGGTAATAAATTTGATACTTCCTTTTGGACCTCTTTTAAAGATTTTGTTACTGTTCTCATTAGTTCAGGTGTTATGCCGGAGTAATGTGTAAGATAGTCAGTAATTTTATTTGTGGGTAATACAAGCGTTTCATATACAGTTTCAGCAGCTTCATTCACTATAGATATACGTGTTAGCTCATTTCGACCAGTCGTTGTGCGACACATTTCACAATCTACAGCATACATAGGGCTATGATCTGTTACAGGCTCATATTTTTCTTTTGTGAAGACATAATCTTTAAAGCGCTCTGACAACTCCCCACGCAATGGCATCGGATAACCTTCATCTACCATTTGTAAAGCAGATAGTAGTAGTTTTGTGCGGGGAAACTTATCTGTCTGTGGTAAACCAAGCTTTGAAACTTTTTCAGTTTTTTGGTCTATAGGAAATATTGAGTTTACAAGCAAAGTCGGATCGGTGTTCATCCTTACAGCTGATTCCAGACTACCATGCTTTTGTATAAGAACTTGAGCTTGCATTGTTGTTAATGGGACCTTTAAAAAGAAAATAGTTCATTGTTCATTAAAAAACCAAAAACCAAACAAATATAATTTTACAACCTTTGTTAAGTCTTCAACTATCATTCCATCTTTGCATGGTGGTAATACCAACTCTAAACGTGTATCAAATATTTTTTTCGTTTCTTCGAATTTACTTTCATTAGACAAATAGTGATAAAGAGAGAAACCTTCTAGGATTAATACAACACTATGCGTCAGACGAACCGGTTTATTGATTGTACACCAACGTTCTGGAGTGCATGGAGATTTGTTACCTGTTACAGCGGACATTAATAAATGTTGTACATCTGTAAGAAATATTGGAATTCGCTGTTCTCGTGGAACATCTAACATAGCACGTTGACCATATTCACGTAACCGCAATGTAGGATAGCTTTCTAGTTGTCGATGGCGTTCACGAAGATGCTCTTTTATTTCTTTACACTGCTCATTGGTTAATTGAATTCTATTGTCACTGTTCGTTGAAGTTTCATCAGATGTATCTTCTTTCTTTTCATTCTCAAGTTTAGCGCGCTTTCCTGATGGTTCATCGCTATTTGTTTGAACAGGCAGTTTATTTCTTGGTAAATTCCTTTTGTATGTAACCTAACAAGAATATTATGTTAACATATACAAATATATTAAATTAAGTCTCACTTTTTGAAATCCATCGTCCTCGTTCTTTTCCAGTTCAGCAGGTGAATTCACATCCTCTACAACGGTATCTCCTCGCCTTTTCAACTTTACTAAACTAGCTTCTTTCATTCGATCATGGTCATTTAATTCCACCAAAATGGCTAACGCAGCTAATTTCCTCTTCTTTTTTTCACTCCTCTCTAACTGTTTCGAGGTTTTCATTTTTATCTAAAAATAGTTTAATGGAATTTTAATTATTCTCAAATTTCAACACTTAACATTATTTTATAAATGTTTACGTCGTTTCACGTGTATTAAAATCAATAACATATGTTGCACAAACAGGGTTGCTGTCAAAATAAAATTTTTAGTATATCAATATTATGTAGTATCACATATAAAAAATATATTTAATGTAATTGAATGAATAATAAATTTGACTAAAAAAACAAAAAAAACTAAAAAAAAAAATTGATAGTTCATGATTATTGTGTTGTATTAAAATATATTCAAAATTTTAATGCTATTTGACAGAATGCTCTGAACATTTTTAGTAGTATTATTGTTACATCTAGTTTATATAACCTAATAATCAGTGTTGCTTAACGATTTTTACTAAATTTTGTCAAATTTTTTTATAACTTTAAATTGCATATATGCAAATTTTATAACATACCTTTGAATCACTCATTTTAAAATTCTGCCAATTGTATTGATTCACTGTATCAAAAAAAAAATTTCAATTTATTAATTGACATTTAACAAATTGTTTTTTTTTTCTTATATATTTTTGTAATGAATATTCAGTATTTTGATTATTTTCTATATATACAGCGCGTTAAATGCAACGAAATATTGTAGTAGCTTAAAATTTTGAAAAATAAAAGCATACTAATGTAATGGTTATTATGAAATGAATAATTAACTTGAAATTTTATTTCAAAACCAAAATATTGTGAATTGAAGAAATTGTGTAATATTTTGCTTCATTTTATTATTTTTAAACATTTTTTCATTTAAGTATAAATTAAGAAAATAATGTCAATGAAAAAATGAATAAGTATATTAATACATAATGTTAATAAAATTTATTGAAAATGTTTAATTATATTATACAAACTTGAAAATGTTTGGAACTTTAGTGCATTATATAAAAAAAAATTCTACAGGAATTAACCAATGCTATGACATGAATTATTAATCAAATATATTTCATGTAAATGTTTTGAAGAATTTGGATTAGGTTTGGTTATCTTATTACAGTGATCACTGAATTCATTTAGGCAAACATAATAGTGTGTGAGATAATCCAATATAATTTCTATTACTGCGCGTGTTTTTGGTAACATTGTTGAGATCGAATGCAAATACGTATTATTTTTTTTTTATTATCTGTAAACTAATATTTGTAAGTGTTGGTCAAAAAGAAAAATTGTATGCTGAAATCTTGCCAAACTCCAGTTAGTGTAAATGCAAGAAAAATGTAAAAAAATTATATATATATTAAAAGAAGTTTGGAATATCTGTAAATATAAATAAACAGTTTTAATTTTGTTTAAAATTAAAAATTGCAATGCGTTTTATTTATTTTAATAATACATAAAAAATAAAGCAAAAAAAAACATATATATATTAAAATTTGCTGTTTCTTTAGTTATACATAAAAAAAATTTACCACGCGTTGTCGATACTTTAAAAATAATTTACAATTTGTTTTTAATAATAATACATAAGTCAACAAAAATGTTAATTGGCGACGCGTAACATAATGCCAGCAATGTCGAGAATGTTATATTTTAACAAGTTTCTCTGATCACACCAATATTTTCATTCTCGTATTGCACGTTTTTCGTTTTACATAAACATTAAATTTGAAAGAGATGACAAAAATTTCAGTGGGGGCATTCTCGCAAGGAACGCGAATGATTTTCATAAAGGAACTGTTGATTAAGTGCGCACTTGCAACAACAAATTAGTAAAAAATTACTATATGCTATAATCTGTTCGTGAACATAAAAAATATTTATGAAATCAGTTTATTCAAAACTTACTTAAATTTTGAACGTAAAATTTGTGCAAATAAAATAATATTAAAGTGAAAAAGCAATTGCCACTTGCTTTAATATAATGGAGAATGGTAGAAATTTTAAATGATTTTTTATTTAATTAAATTTTCACTTTTTGAAAGGTGATAGTCAATCCATTTATAACACAACAATTCATTGTAATAGGTTTTAATTAAAAGCGTTTCTGAGAAAATCGTTTATGAATTTATTCTTATGTTTAATATTACTATTTTTTACTTCTAAAGAACTTGAACGAACAGACCCATATACATATATTATTTTTATGTTGTAAATTGTCCAAAAATTTGTTATAATATAAATTCTTAGTCATACTGTACACTATATATCGCTGTCAGAATTGTACAGACTAAATAAAATGATCTGAAGTTTGTTTTTTCTTTCGCGCTTTGTGGTTGTCTTCTTTAAACTGGGAACCGTTAGAAGAATGAAGACGCCAATATATTTCGTATTTATGTTTCGATTGATAATTGGCTTTGTGTGCGCGGCGAAAAGTGATCATTATATATTAGACGAACGCCTCAACAGAAGTTTGCAAAAAAACATTGCTTCTCCACAAGATTTTGGAATTCGAGTTACATTTGCTACGAGTATTTGTACCAGACATAGCGGAGATGTATTCAGCAGTTAAGCCGCTTTCGAAATATTTACAATTTAAATCCATTAAAATATATGACACAGCCTTCACTTTACATTCCAAATGCACAGTTGTCATATTGTTGACATGTTCGTTTCTATTATCTGCAAAGCAGTATTTTGGAGAACCAATACAGTGTATATCAGACGAAAAAAACATAGAATTCGTAAATTCCTTTTGCTGGACGATGGGAACTTATATAGTACAATACAATGTACAATTACAGCAATCATTAAATGTAACATTAAAAAAAAGAAAAGCAGACATGTACGCTCGCATGTTTGCAATTTCCGAGGGGGTGGGACCTGAAGATCACTCCACTGAACGTGTTTATTTACGTTATTATCAGTGGGTAATAATGATGTTACTTGTTGAAGCCCTTTTTTTTTATATGCCATCATTTCTTTGGAAAGTGTGGGAAGGACAGAGACTCAAACAACTTTGTTCGGATGTTGGTAAGCAGCATTTAATATATATCTAAGCAATTTAAATCTTAGGAATTTGTTTATTCTATATATATATATGTATAGTATCCACAGTTGTGCCGGAAGAAACGTACGAAAAACGTTTAGAAATGCTTTTTAAATATTTCACAACAGACTACAAGGATATACATTTCTGTTATAGTGCTAAATACATACTTTGCGAATTATTAAATTTAATTATAAGCGTAAGAATATACAATACTTTCAATTGTAGTATATATTAATATTTTCTCGTATTTAAGGTAATCAATATTTTGATGTTAGACGTTTTTCTCAACGGCTTCTGGGGAAAATACGTAGATGCCGTAATGGCTATTGAGAAATATGATTGGGACACGTGGAACCGTTTGTCGTCACTTGTATTCCCTAAAATAGCAAAATGCGAAATGATGAAATATGGATCCTCTGGCACACCCATCATCTACGACAATCTGTGTATATTACCACTGAATATACTTAATGAGAAAATATTCGCATTTCTTTGGTGTTGGTTTATTTTAATGAGCGTAGTGGCATTTTTTAATTTAATGTTGCGTTTTTTAATGATACTCTGTAAGTGTTTTCGTTTAAAATTGATACGTGCGCGTGCGCGAAATATGCCTTCTTTAAATGTGCGGCAAGCAATTCACAATTTTAGTTTTGGAGATTGGTTTGTGTTATTCAAAGTTGGTTCCAACATCAATCCTATATTATTTCGAGACTTAATACAAGCATTATATGAAGCAAGAAAAAAAAAAAAGACTGATGGTGCTATTTGAGTCCACACCGAATGTTCCTTGAAGGACAAAATTTGACAACAACTTATATTTACATGTATATATTTATATTTCTTTAAATTCTTTTGATATATTTATAAAAATATAATCAATTAAGACAATCTTTTAATTTTATATATATTAATATTATAAGCAGACAAATTCCTGTCAATATATATAATTTATTTGTTCCTGTTTAAGTTAAAATTTGTAAAGTTTGTAGAAAGTAAGCAAATCTTAGTAGTAAAGAGCAAAATATTATGATATAGTATCATATGAATTTAACCATTATCATTATTAACTAAGTGACTTTTAATTTTCAAAAGAATTTTATTTAAAAGAAAAATATAATTTAATATTAAGTTTAATTATTTTTTTTCCATTTTGTTTTATTTACTTTTTCAAGTTTTAATTTATTTTCTTCTAATTATTATTTTCGTTGTTTTGTTACAAAATTTCGTTGTAATTAAATTTGTTTCAAAATTAATTATATATATTTTTTTAATTTTTATTAATTTTTTTTATATCATATTTTCTCTTGAATTATTTTTTGTTTACTTTATTTATTTTTTACTTTCTTGATTTATTTTTTATTTTCTCGCTTTACTATTATTTAGCATTTTTTTTAAATTTACTATTTATTTTTTCATACTTATTAATTTTGACTATATTTTTATATATTTAAGAATAATTAGTTTTTTAATATAATAAATTTCATTAAACAATTTTATGTTTATTTTATTTATACTAATAGCTTGATTTTTAATCTGCAAAAATGGTACAATATCATTATTATGAAATCTATATAGCGCATGTAATTTTAGTTATTGAGCTTATTCCTGAAAGAATAATCTAGCTAAATGGTGTAAGCCTTACCACATGGTGATGCAGATACAATTAGATACAATTATGTATAAATTCTTTTGCAATGGTAAGTTAAATCTGCTCCATTAACGTAAATAAAAAGCATCTTACTACCGGCAACGATATGTGGCAATATTTCTTGGTGTTAGAAATGGGCAAGTAAATGTGATTACGCAAATTACGAGATTTTTTCAACTAAACTTATATGTTTAAACTACCTACTAACTAATGTACAGGAGACTATAATTTTTTAGATTCTATACACAAATAAGAATCTTAGTAAACAAAATATAGTAAAAATCTTACCAATCAATATGAATGGTTATCAGATAAAATTACAATCAGACGTGAAAATTTTGTATTCCACATTAAGTCAATATACTAAACAAATTAAAGGTGCTATATTGATATTATTATCTACTATTACATTTTCCTTTGTTTATTAAGTTTATTTGCATTTGAGCCTAAAAAAAAGATTTAATTTTTTGAAAGTTGTATACATAACACATCAAATGGTAATCACACAAATGCATTAGTGATGTAGAATTTGTTGCACCGAGACGGCTTACAATACATACAAGGAGCTATGGTAACCCAGTAGAAAAAGTGGTCTTCGAAGACATTGTCTTCAAGACGGTCTTTGATACCGCGTCCGCATGTTCAAGCAAATTTGCAAAACAATTGCTCAAAACATGAATATAAATACTCTTTCTTCGCTTTCTCTCTCATTTTTAGTGTTCATAGCAACGTATTTGAATTTTGCCTCAGATGACGCTATGTTTTATAAATGAAGTGACGCAATAATTTTGAAGTGTAGTAAATAAACATTTTTGTGAAATAAATATTAAAAAAATCAAAATGAATAAAGAAACAAAATCATTAAACTATGAAATATTAAAAAAAAAAGAAATTAAATCAAAACAAATTAAATAGTGACTTAGTTCCTGGAAAATATATTGATATTAATATTAAAGACAAAAATTCCAGTGAAAGTTGTTTAAGAAACGAAACAAAGGATGTTGAAAATAAAAAAACTAAAAACACTTGTGAAAAATTAGCTGTTATATTTAAAAAACACAGGATTAACAGGCGTTGTGGTAATGATATTTAAGAACTCTTAAGATCAGAAGGTTTAATTGTACCAAAATTCTTTTCAACGCTTTTGAAAGCATATAAAACTTCAACAATTGATGATAGCGAAATGCTATAAATTATTTTATATTAGTTTCAGTTAATTTTAGATATGTTAAGTTGTATTAAGTTAATTATTTAAATTAATTTTCATTATGTTTACCATTTTTTACTAGTTTATTTTTAATATCTTAATAAAATTTATAATAATTTATAATAAAATTTATAATTTACTTTTAAAACTTTTAATTTTGAATGTAATGCAAGAAATTATGATATAAAATAAATAAAAGTACAAAATACAACAATTTCTTTCTACTTATTTAAAGAGAAAATTGAAATTCATTTAAAATTTAAAGAGCGCAATAAAAGAGTAGAAATAAAAAAAGGGTGAAAAAATTATATGAGCACTGCACTAAGAGCGCACAACTTTCTGTCGAATGCGTCCGTTATGCAAGCCATGGTCTTCGAGACGGTCTTCGAGACATGTACACAAAAATTCATTGAAGACATTTGGCTAATTTGTATGAAAGTGTCTTCAAAGACCGTCATACATTTGGATCGATCGGTCTTCATGTATGTATCCATGTCTTGAAGACGTCTTCGATGACGGATCGATCCGTTTTCTACTGGGAAGTTTATAAGCTGTATAGGATATCTAACAAATACCAATCTGTCATCCGTCAGTAAAAATTGTAATTACTTAAAAAATAAAATTTAGCATTTTTGTTTGCATTAAAATGATACAATATTAATTTTTTTACAGCATAGATTATATTCAATTTGGCATTAACACATTAAAATAAATTGTTATATTTTAATAAATTTGCATTGAAGCTAAAAATTATTTATTTTTATTTATTATAACAAACGAAAACCAATAAAACAGTTTTCATTTTATGCTCTCACACAAATTAATCAATTAGGTCACATATAAGGTCTGTTCCACAAGTTACTTGTAGTAACTTTGAGTAACACTGTGTATACACAAGTGTGTCCACCAGCAAACTTTCGAGTAAACTTTCGAGCATCTGAGAGAGCGTAACATCCCTGTCGAAATTTGAAAATGCTAAACAGACTTTACTCGTACATTTTATTTCAAGTAAAATTTGTTTGATGTGTGAATCAGCTGTTTGAATTTTGAATTTTGTATTGTTTATTTACGCGGTACTGGTGTTCGCATCAGATTTTACACAAAGCTGTGTAAAACCTGTGTGAAGAGTGAAATTTGGCACTTTATTTATGTTGCGCTCTCAATTTGTACTTTACTTACTTTTTACTTGAGTTTTACTACGAGTAGCTCGTGGAACAGAACTGTATACTAAATAGGTCTGACACAAGCCAAATAAATCTGCTAAATTATCCTTTTAAGAACGTTGCAATTTTCCAAAACGCAAATGTAATTGCAATTAATGAAAGAACAAATTTCGTAGCTTTCAACATAAATTCAACATAAATCGTTTTATATATAATATTTCGTTGAGAAAGTTATTTGAATAACAAGGATATAGATTGAATTACTTTTATAAAAATTGTAAGTATTTGTAATGCATTAATCCAATACGCTTACAATATAATTATATTAATTATATAAAATCAGGCAGCTTGAATTCAAAAAGAAAATAATTTGTTCCATTGCAAACGTAAACAACTAAGGTAAGTGTCAAAAACAGCTTCCTTTCGAAAAAATGAACTTCATTTAAAAATAATTGTGTTTATCTTATAAAAAATATTTTTTATTTGGCAATGCTGTAAAACAATATTCACCTTGTCGGCATAAACGCATACAAGCTTAATCGTTCTTGTATTTTTCATACTGTCTTTGCTGCTGCTTCTAATTTGATTCGTGCGCGGTGTTGACCGTTATAAAAATAAAAAATAAACAAATATAAAAATATTTTTAAGATTATTAATAAAAAGTATAAAGCAATTTAAGTAAAATGTTTTCTGAAGTTAAACCACTTTCGAAATATTTGCAATTCAGATCAATAAGAATATTTGATCCGGCTTTTACATTGCATTCCAATTTTACGGTAGTAATATTATTAACGTGCTCCGTATTAGTTTCGACTAAACAATATTTTGGTGAACCCATGCAATGCTTAACTGAGGAGGAAAATACCAATTTCATAAATTCCTTTTGCTGGACAATGGGAACTTACATACTTAACATAACCTCACAAATATCAAGTGTAAGAGATATATCAGTAGGTGTGGGTACTGAATCTCAAAACACCAAGCGAATATATTTGCGTTATTACCAGTGGGTAGTAATGGTTTACCTTCTAGAAGCGTTGTGTTTCTATTTACCATCGTTTCTTTGGAATATGTGGGAGGAAGAACGACTGAAGCAACTTTGTTCGGGAATTTGTAAGTACCTAACATTTTAAATACCATATTTATGTATATATACTTGAAATCATTACAGCTGGTAAAACAATTTTGCCAAAAAAGGCTTACAGCGAACGTATTAACACGCTTGTTAAGTATTTCACAACTGATCATAAGGACAAACATTTTTGCTATAGTTCCAGATATATATTATGTCACTGGTTAAACTTGTCCATAAGCGTAAGTAAAAAAAAAAAATAAATAACTTTTATGTATAAAATAATAAAATTATATTTTAATTTAGATAATAAATATGGTTATATTAGATGTATTTCTTAATGGATTCTGGGTGAGGTACTTAGATGCATTGTTGGCAATTCCATTTTATGATTGGAACAAATGGAATAGTGTCACATCACTTGTTTTTCCAAAAGTTGCTAAGTGTGAACTGCTAATATTTGGGCCAGGTGGGTCTGTCAGGGTTGAAGATATGCTTTGTATGCTCCAACTGAATATTCTAAATGAAAAAATATTTGCATTCTTATGGTGTTGGTTTATATTCGTTGCATTCATTGGAGCTTGCAGTGTCCTTTACTATTTATTTTTGGTTTGTAGTAAGCGTTTTCGTTTACAACTGTTACGTACACGAACAAGACACATGACCAAAAGTCAAGTAATAAGTGTGTTGGCTGACTACTCATTTGGAGATTGGTTTATGCTGTATAAGGTGGGTTCTAATGTTAATCCGATATTGTTTCAAGATTTTATGCTGGAATTGTATAAGTGCAGCAAACAACGCCAGATCGAAAAGAGAAAAGAAAATGGGATAGTTCTTTTTTTATAAAGAAATACTAAATAACTAATGAATTATTAATTTGCTGTAATAATACATATAAAAATCCACTTTAAAGAAATATGTTTGCTTTATAATATTTTGATAAATGGTTACAAACATGTGTAATAGTAATTATATTATTATTAATTAATTATACTATTATCAATTAATTATACTTAATTATTTTTTTTTAATATACTTAATTTTTATATGACTAAGAAATTTTTCGTAAAAAACTATTTAAATAATTGCAAAATTTGATAAACAAATAATTAATAATAATAAATAATAAATAGTAAATAAATAATTAATAGTAAATAATTAATAAATACAAATGATTAAAAATAATTTGTAATAATTAATAATAATAAATAACTAATAATAATAAGTAATTATAATAATAAGTAATTAATAATAATAAATAATTAATAATAATAAATAATTAGTTATAATAATTGATAATACGAAATCATTAATAATAATAAATAATAATAATAAATAATTGATAATAATAGTACTTCATTAATAACAAATAATAATAATATATGATTATTAATAAAAAATAATTAATAAAAATAAATAATTAATAATAACAGTAATTAATAACAAAAAATAATTAATAATAAATAATTAATAATATTAAATAATTAATAATAATAAATAATTAATAATAATAAATAATTAATAATAATAAATAATTAATAATAATTAATAATTAATTAGAATGATTATTATTATTTAAAAAAATAATAAATAATGATTCAATAAGACATTGATAATATTTATATTTAAATATAGTAGTATATATATAATAAATTAATATATACATATGATCGATATATATAAAGTAATATATTTATTTTTAAATTGTTTATAAATATGAATAAGAATATAATTTATATAGACATTGTAGTTAACAAATAACTTTTGTTTTTAATAAATTGATTTCATTAAATATATATAATTTTGATTTTATTATTTTTATTTATTGAATTTTATTGATTTATATGTTGTTTACTTATTTTATTTATTTATATTCGTACAATAATTTAAAGATTTTTTATATGCAACGTGAATAATGCAGTATTAGTCTTCAGATTTGTTTAATAATTTGATATTAATTTTAACGCTTATATTAATATAATATAATATCTAATAATATATTATATTTATAATGTGACTCAGTGGCGTAACTACAGGGAAGCGACTGGAAGCAACGCTTTGGGGCCCCCGAATTTAGGGGGGCCCATTATAAATTAATGTATTCATTGTATTTATTTTTAATAAATTCTCAAAAGTGGGATGAAACGTTTTTTATTAAAATAACTCCATATTGCATTTTATAAAATATACTTAAATTTTAAATTTAAAGTACATTATATATATATGTACTTCAAATAAAATGTTAGACCTATTTATAAAATAGTTTTTCTAAGAAAATATGTGTCTGAATCGAGAGTTTATATGGAAGCTATATCTAGATTTAAACACATTTGAATATAATTTTGTTGTCTTATGCAAATATCAGTACAGTATATACCAAATTTCATTCGAATACCTTTATTAAAAACGGAGAAGCTTCATATCCGATTGTTAAGTTTATATGGCAGCCATAAGAAGTAGTAGTCCAATTTCAATTAAATCAAATGGTGAACAGGGTTCGCTTCCGAAAAGTATGTGTGTAAAGTTTCATTCGAAGAGTACCCTTTTTACACTTTTTCGTGTAAAGGGTATAAAAAGATGTTAGTAGGGGCCCCCTGAGTTAGAATTTGCTTATAGGCCTGAAAAATGTAGTTACGCCACTGATGTGACTATAATGTACGGAGCTAAAACAACTTATTTTGTTGTTGAAAACTACTAACATAAAGATCAACTATTTTTTTTACTTAAAAAATTAAATAATATTGAATTGTATGTTATGCATAAGTTCTTGTACTGCAGAATACTTTTGATACCTCGAAAAACTAATTTTTTGGGCTGACTAAACAGTTTTTCTCTTTTATTTGTAGCTGTTTTATTTTTCAATCTACATTTTGTTTTTTTAATATCAGGAATGTAATTGTGAATCCACATTTCATCGGTAGTTGCTAATTTACGCAAAAAGACCATTACGTTTTGCTTCCATTGTTCAAAAAGGTTGAAGAGGTTGTGCTTTTGATCTGCGGTTGTTGAGCAAAACGTTTATGACCTTAACAACATTTATTGATTCAGTTGTCCGTACATAATATATGGTCTGTATATATGAACTGATAAACCATTAAATATTTGCAAAAACCAATGAGGATGGTATATTGCGATATTCGAAATAGTTCCATGACTAACCGAAGTATTAGATTAGAAGTATTCGAACCGAAGTATTAGCATGGAAAAATAGAACCAACTTAAACCGAAAAACGCTCAATATTGCATTATATATATACATATAATATATAATAATATAATTATTAATGGCTTCATCAGTGATGGACCCTTATAAATGTTTAAAATACTTAATCAATTATAACTATTTAATTTAAATTATTTTAGTAACAATTTGATATTTAATTTATTTACAATTTTTTATTTTATTTATATTTTCCTGTCAATTTCGCTATAATTTATTTAATATATTTTTTTTTATTAAAATTTAAAAATTGTTAGGTTGATTTAAATTTTAAAACTACATAAAATTATTTAAATAATTCGGATATTTTTACACTTACAGTACCAAAGTTATGTTCATTATAAACCAAACGATTCTAGAGACTGTTCAGGATAAATATTTGGTGATATCCTGAACAGCTCAAGATCAGCAGGAACTGATTACACAGCTTAAGAATTTGTTTGGTTAACAAATTTCTTCTGGATTTCAACGCCCTTTTCTGTTCTAAGTCGATCTTTTTATCATAGGACATAAAACTATTAATTACAATGATTATGTTTTATTAAATTTGTGTTTTAACTTTCACAATTTAATTCTTTATAACTTTAAATATTTCAAAAATTAAAATTAGATGACAAGTATAAATAAGGTTAGTGTGTAAATATTGTGAAATAATTTCATTTTTTCCTATTTCAGTTTTTTATTATATTATTTTATTTATTTTTTATTTTTTTATTTTTTAATTTATTATAATTTATATTTAATTGATTTTTAACGTCAGTTTTAGCGAAAGAAACTTAGTTCCTAATAATGTATTTTATTATTATTTACTCTATTGTTATTTATTTTATTATTATTATTGAAATAATTTTAGTAAATGTTTTATAATAATTATTAATGTTACAATAGAAGATTATATTTGGAATATAAAAATGTAGTTACTACAAAAATTTATCTACTTCATTTGTTTATATAAACATCATCCTGGAGTATTTCCAAAAATGGAAAATAAAAATTAATAATGAAAAAACCAAGGCTCTCTTTATTAAGCGTAAGTGGAGGCAGAACTCGTCAAGAGTGAGATATGGTGATAAACTGGTAGGATAGCATTAAATTTCTAGGCATCACGGTGGACAAACGATTCACATTGGCTTAAACATGTTCAACTGAAAAGAATTAGCTGTACTAAAATACTTCATCATTTCCAACCGCTATTCAAAAATGAAAATCTCAATGGTAAGAACAGGAAGCTGTTATACCATATAACCACATAATTCGACCGTCACTTCTATATGGAAATGTAGCGTTCAGCAAGGTCTCAAACATTACTATTCGCCAGCTAGAAATTGCAAAACGCCAGGCTCTGAGAAGCCTTCTCAAGGTACCATGGAATATTAGGACGAGTGACATCCTTATGCACCTCAAGATTGATCCGATCGAAAAACACATAAAGGATAGAGCCCTGAAATTATTTGCGAAAACTGACAGGCTTACCACTGTTTCTCGGGGAAGTATGCAGATCTGGGGTCAGTTATTGCTTAGTCTGATGAAGTGATAAACAAGAATCCAATCAAGGCATAGAGTGGGGAAGAAACCTCGCAGTTAATAGAGAGTAAAATTGCTCAAATGCACTAACTCAACTAGCCTCAACAGAATAATACAAAAATTTATCAAATTCATTTGTTTACAGTTTACTTAAATTTATTATTTATTTATTATTTAAAGGTTATTACCGTAAACTTTTAAAATAAAAAACTGTTTAGAGACTTTTGTATTTATTTTTTTTTATATGTATTATTTTTATATAGTTCTCTTCAACATAAAGTTGCCAATATTTTGAAGTTATTTGACTAGTTTATCAGGGTAGGATGATTGAAGAATTTGTTCTAAAAGTTAACGATAATAGTCTTTATATAAATAATAAATTAATAAAAAATTTATTTTTATTTACATTTAAAAAACAAATTTATTTTTATATTTACATTTAAATAACAAATTTATTTTTATTTAAATTTAAAAAAAAATTGTATTTTTATTTAATCATTTTCTTACACAAATTTTATTAATAAATATAAATAACAAAACTGAACTAAAACAAATTGGGTTATTTTTAAGCTGAACTATAATTATATTATAATAAATAAATAAAAAATTTATTTTTATTTACATTCACAAAAAAAAAGAACGTGTATATTTTTTTAATCATTTCCTTACATAAACCTTATTAATAAATATAAATAACAAATTTGAACTAGAAGAAATTGGATTATTTTTAAGCTGAACTATAATTTTATTTAAGGTTATTGCTGTGTACCGCATGCAATAAAAAACTGAAGAAAGCTTACAAGGTAAATTTTAATTAATTTTCCTTCAACTTGCAAATTTATTAATTATATTATTTTTGTTTTCATTTTAGTCGCCAAACGTAAATTCTCATCATGTTTTCGCCACATTTAAGTAAAAATAATTATAGTTATGCATTTTGAAGTACAAATAATCAGTAAATCAAAAAATATTTTACCAAACATTGTTGTTAAGCTCAGCATAATTAATAATTTTCATTAATTGAATTTATGAAAAAAAAAAAAATTAAATTACCTAACCACAGCAAAAATATAAACAATTTAGGTCAATTCCCTCAGTGGAAGTGCTGCAATGTTCTACTTTTGAACTCTTCAAAAGCCGTTGTTCTTAACACGAAAGACCTCAGTTTTGTCGTGGAACTCGTAAGGAACGGAAGTGATCAAATCGTGTAAAGTGCAACGTGTGTTTAACATATTAAATAAAAAATAATATAAATTAAAGTATAGTTTGTTCAATTACTAAGAATTTGAAAGTGTTATTGTGTCCATAATTTTAACAGCAGAAATAGAATGGGATTAGCCATTCAAAGTGTTAGCAACGGAAGTGATCAAATTTTATAATATTAGAATACATGGATTTTAAATATCAACACTTTTTTCCCCTATGACCAAACAGCTTTCATTTACAATAACATAAAAATATTGTTCCAAAAAATATTATGTTCCATTTAAAAATGATATAAAAAATAGTAAAATATATATATAATAAAATATATAGCAATATATAATAAATAAAAGAGTGTGTGTAAAAAAAGTGCTGCCAAAAAAATGGTGACTAAAATAAAATTCGTGCCCGAAGGTAGGAAAATAATCGATATTGTTAATATATGAATATAAATATATTTATTATATTTATGGAATTCAAGTGAATATATTATAATTATTTTGTATTGAGTAAAAATGTAAATAAGCTGTATATAACTAACATTTTAAAAATGATATATAAATAAAACATATATAAAAAAAAATCATTTGTAAAAGTAATGTTCTAAAATAATGAGTATATATATGCCTTGTTAATTCCATAAGTGAAGTGGGTCCAAAAAGACCATTGTGCAGTGCGTGGATAGTAGCTCAATAATATATGTACCAATATATTAATAATTTATATTAAATTATAAATACAATTATGTTTTATATAAGCTGTGCAACTAATTCTGCAGAAGTTTAATAAAAATTTATTTTAAAATAATCAGCAATATTCTGCAAACTAGGCTAAGTATACAGTGCTTAGTGCTAATATGTGGCAGATCAGTTTTTAATGTCTTGCTCAATAACGATATTAACGTGGATAACTTGAACTTTTGCTGTAATTGGCAAAAAAATGGCTTGTAGCCAAAAAATTACTTTGACGAGCGCTTAAAGATTAAAGAAAAAAAATTTTAAAAGTAATTGCTTAGGTTATTTTTCGAAAAAACTGCACGTGAATTCAGTCTATGAGGGCCAATCACATTTTTTGGTAGAGTTTTTATTCTTTGTCATGACTCCATTAACACTATCTAACAATACTATCTAACAACACTAGCCGTTGTTATTGGTAGAGTAACCAATAAAAAATGTAAGAGAATACTTTATTACTAGAAAATTAGTTGCATCGATTTCAAAATCTCGGTGTTTAAAACACTATAGACGATCGAAACAATAATCCTTATCGATTCGATTAGGATAATTCGAAAAAAAGTTAGTAGCTTACTTATTAAGTTTAATGAATATAAACAATGTACAAAATATATTGACTCGAACGATGTACAATATATATAATCAATTAAATATACTGATATCCGAAATATTCATTATAAATATCCTTCCTTACAATATACATAATAATACAATATTGTACTTAAATTGACGGTTAGACTGTCATCTCTCGTACTTAGTCAACAATTTCTTTTAAAAGGATTACAAATATTCCTTAAAAACTTCAGTAAATTATTTAAAAAAAAACTTGAACTACAAACTTACCTATTTTAGTAATCCACGTTTTCATAATAATTTGAAAGATAATTTTGTTATGAATTTTTTGGACCAATTCCTGAAAGTATTTTTCAAAAAAAATTTCACATAACATTACTTTTGAACCGAATAATAAACGGTTTAGTCGGCCAAACTAACGTAAACTGTTTGAATAATTTCTTATTTTAGTGTGAATTAAGTAAAATATTATTTATGTGAGTTAAAAAAAATTTAACTTGACAGGAATCGAAAATTACAAATCTCAATGTATACATTTTAGTCCATTTTCAGTTGCTTAGATAGTTAATAATTTGAATTTTATTGTTTACTGATATGGAGTATGAATAAGGATCTTTAAATTATTATTTTTTCCATATGTATAAAAATAATTTCTTCTTATATCTTTACGGTTATTTTCAAAATATTATTATTTGATAAGTTTTTTTACAATACAAATTGAGTTGTTAATTTATAGCAGATAGAAGATAGATAGATCATATTCATTTAGCTTAGAAGCAACTCCGACTTGACAACGAACACGTGCTGTGGAGTTCCATAAGCAAATAAAATATACACGAGTCATAGGCTTAGTCAAGCTGGATACGTTCTATAGTTCAACATTCCCTTAGAGCAAAAATTATTTGACAATTATAGTATAGTAAGATTTTTATTTTTAAACATTAGTTTTATAGAACCAATATAAATTGTTTTAAAAATAATTTCTGTGAATCAAATTCGAAGTTTGAGAGTATCTTGGTAATGATTATAATACGGCGGGATTTCAACAATTTTTTTTGATCGATGGCAAAGACTGATAGCATATAAATTCTCGTCTATAGATGGAACAAGAGAAAGATGAAATCCGATCCAGTTCGTCTGCTTGCTCTTGCTCTCTGTCTTCATGTCCTGAAACACAAACTATAGTTGACATCGCTACCCCGCTACCTTAATAATAAGTCTAAATTCGTTTATTAATTCGGATAAGAATTACATCTCTGATGTGGTGTCAATACCGTCTCGCTTTCCGCGAGCACAAAGATTGATCGATCTTGTTTTGAATAGTGTTGTATAAGTTTTATAAATATTTGATATTTAAGTTTTGTAAAAATGAATGAATTTTTACAAAAGAATGAGTCTCTCCAATCCTCACCTCTACTTCAGAGAGGTGATATACATTCTAAATTTGGTTAAAATGAAAGTTTCTTATATAGAAATCTATAGGTCTATAAATTTAAACTTTAATGAATAAAATCCATATCTGTATAAACAAATTATACATTGTAACTTATTTACAACTAAAACCTAAGCTTCACCCTAGTTTAGCTAGCCCTAGCTAGCTTACAATTAAGCTAGTGATAGTCACAAATGTTGAAGTATATAGTTAAGACAATAATATTGATATTATAGAAGTTTTAGAATAAAAATTATTATAAAATAAATCGTTGTTTATTTCTTAATTTTTATTTTAAACAATAATTAAAAATTGATCAATTAGTCTATAAAAAAAACTATATCATATATAGTAAAATAAATTTTTTTAACGCTATTGAAAATTTATATATCTTTTGAATTTATAGAACTCGAAAATTTTCGTTTTCGATCGCAGCGAAAATGTGCCAAATCAATATTAACAAGAATTCTTGCCATATCAGCTATTATATTCATAGTACTACTGATGACTATCATTTATCATTGCATTGTGGTTGAAAGAATGGGTAAATAAATACTGTTTCTTTTTTAAAAATAAATTTTATAATTAAGTTTTTAAATATTCCAGAAAAAATGAAACAAATAATCTCACTAAATATTAGACATCAGCAAAATGCAAATATCTTAAACACAGACAAAAAGTCTTTTAAGAATATACATCTTTTCAGAGAAAGTGATAATGCTGTTGAATCTGCTAGCGTAGAAGCAGAGTCTACTGATACTATAGCCTCATTGAGTGATGAAAAAAGTATAAACTTACAGCATATGAAAATGAGAAAATTTCATTATAGGTCACGTAGAGACATTACTTACATACCCGATCCTCTTCATTTAGAAGGTGAGCTCGATTTGCAGAATATTTACGGAAAGATTAGATATAAGCGCACTAGAAGTGAACTCTTCAAATTAGAACAGGAATATATCAGGTGTAAAAAAGAGACTCCTTCCAAAAATGATTGTATGGTCGCATTTGCAAAAATGTATCGTCTAGCAAAAGAAATAAGCGATAAAATGGAAAAAATGAAAGAAATTTTTAAAGAAAGTGATACAATATTAGAAGAGAGTGATTCAAAATCATTTGATTCAAAGTACAGTAAGGAAGATAAATTTACTGAATCAAATGATAATAATAATAACGATAAATTTGATAAGTCAACACAAATAAAGACAAAAACTATAAATACAACAACTCCTAATCCTACGAGAGGAACAAAATTAACAGTTGATTTCAATACTTCCAAAGATGATGAAAGTCATACAAATACAACACAAGTAAACAATGGTGTTATTGTAAATGAGGGGACTACGGAACACTCCATTTTAGTTAAGACTACACTAAGCATTACAACTGATGAATCCGTTACTAAAAAAACAAATGATGAAACAACTGAAACTTCAGATGACTCTCAGGAAGATATTGAGAAACTAACTTGGATATTAGATGGAAATGATAGTATTGAAGCTTCAACTACAAAAATTCCTTCGAGTTTAATCGCTACTGATATTGTGTCCACAACTAGCATACGAACAGATGACAATACAACTGAATCTCTTAAAATTAGCTGGATTATAGACGGAAATGAAAATGATCATATTGAAAATATTCCACTAAATGAAGAGAAATGGAAATCAACAGAACTGTCGGTAACTACTGATGGTTTAAAAGTAACAACAAAAACAATGGTACAAAATAATCCTACAACTTTATCTACTAATACTCAAACAGAAACTTTACCCATTGCAACTAAAGGTGCAACGGAAAGGGAGATTGAAACGGAAACTGACGAAAATCTTCGGAAGTCAAATATTGAATGGATACTTGATGATGATGAATACACTGATGAGATATCATCTAAAAAAGATTCAAAGAATAATACAGGCTTACTTAGAAAATTTTCAACAGAAGTACACGAAAATATTTCTAATATAGATGAAAGCATTTTACCAGGCGGTGATAACTTACTTCAAATAACAGTAGTAACGGACGAAACAGTTACAACAAGTACTGAAAACTCCTTGCCTACTATAAAGTTTATCAATAGTACAAATGTAACTATAAGCTATCAAGGTGCTTGTGCATTAGCTTCTTGTGTGCCTGATGTACCACCTACTCCTGTTCACTCACCTGAAGAATTTAAATCTCGAACACATGATATAGCCACAGTGCATCCTTTAGATAATCCAAATAGTTCAGAAAATATGCTAGATAGTTTTGAACGTCATGAAGGGTTCAAAACAGTTGCAAAACAGAATCAGGATGACATAAAAATAAATGAAACGCATTACGTTATTTATGATAGCAAAAAATGGGAAAAAGTATTTAAAGAAACTTCTACTTTAAATAAACAAAGTGAATTAATTGAAAATATTGGCGATTTGGATGCAAACAGTATGCTAAATTTAGGACCAAAGGTTAATCCCATAAATACTAATGGTTTTGGTGGTAAGTTTTTCTGCTTCGAAATGATCTATTCGCATTTATTTCCAATATTTTATAGCTGATACACAATTATTAACATTATGTGAGCGCATGGCAAAACGCTTACAGAATAAGGAAAATGCAGGAGCTCCTATACCGGAAAACGGTTCTGAAACATTTACGCATCCGCCAGCAGCTCAATTTACTAGTCGTGGTCCTGGTGGCTTTCCAGTAACTGGCGAAACTATGAAAGCATCTGCACAATTTATGTTTAATCCAAATTTTGGCCCACCAACAATACCAATATGTTTTTATGTAACACCGGCCAATTTTAGAATGTTTAATCAACCACCTATGTGGTCTCCGCCATATGTTGGTAGTCCCGCTAACTACGGTGGTTCATATGGGTATTTTAATCCAGTCGCTGGTGGTGGTGGTGGTGGTGGGGGTGTTTTCTTTGTACCACAAAACTTTGGGCCAAGTGGAAATTTTTTTGGACCCGCTAGTGCTACAGGTGGTGGGTAAGTTAATATCATTTCTTGAAACACATAAAAATAATATTTTTTTTCAAGTTCTCAAGCAAATATACCAAATATATTTTCGAAACATGCTTCACCACAAAAAAAACAGCATTTCTTCTGCACTTACATGCCCAATCAGAATAACAATCCCAATCAAGGTGTTGGAAGTAGTGGCACTGGCAGTGGTGTTAATAACATAGGATTCTCAAATGCCAACTTTAAAATGCGTATGGCTAATCAGTCAGCTTTATCCGCAAATATTATATATGCATCTTTCTCTGGAGTGGCTAAGCAATTGGGTCAGAAAGATCAATTTAAATGCTCATTGCCAGGTCAAGTAGCTTGTTATGGCGGAAATGAATGTATTAATGAAGAATCATGGTGCGATAATGCAGTCGATTGCTCTGATGGTAGTGATGAATCTGCTTGCACATGTCGTGATCGAATGAGTGAAGAACGCATATGCGATGGGTATGCAGATTGTCCAATGGGAGAAGACGAAATGAGCTGCTTAGATTGTGGCAACTATATGTTTTCATGTTATGATAATGCCAACGAACTTGAACGTTACAATAAATCTACTGTTGCAATGTGTTACAGTGCTATGGAGAAATGCGATGGTGTTATGCACTGCATGAATGGCAAAGATGAACGCGACTGCAGTATGATTGTAAAAGATCTTTCAACGCACATGGTGAGCGCGCATATATATAAATATATGTCTGTGTTTCTTTAGCAATTATCTAAAAATTTTTTAGTCTCATGCTGTTTCAGCTTCAGAGGGATATCTATACCGAAATCATCGCGGTGAGTGGTATGCTGTTTGTAATAACGGCGAAAAGTGGGCAAAGGAAGCTTGTGATAATGAAGGTGACCATATTGGCCAAATTAATATCACTTTTCAGTCATTGGAACTTCCTGGACCTTTTATTGAACCCACTTCACTAGGCAATGTACATTTTGCACAATCTTGTCAAAAACGTGATAGTAAGGATGTGATAACTGATCATGCAACCTATGTGAAATGTGCAGCCACTAAATGTGGTATTACTAAAACATTTACTACTCCATTAGCAAATGTGAAATCTAAACGTTCCAGTAAACGTTCCAATAGCAATTCAAAATTCAATGAAAGAATTGTGGGTGGCACTAAAAGTGAACCACTACAATGGCCATTTGTTGTAGCTATTTATAGAAATGGAAATTTTCTCTGTGGCGGGTCTATATATAGTGAATATTGGGTAATCTAATAATTTTAATTTGTTTGTGTAAATAAATGCTCATTTGTTTGGTATTTTTAAATAGATTATAAGTGCAGCACATTGTGCTATTAACTTTCAGAAATATCACTATGAAGTACGTGCCGGTATGCTACGTCGCACTAGTTTCGCAATGTCAACCCAAATCCAATCCGTAACTCATATTGTCGTACATCAGTTATACGATCGCTTGAGTATGAAAAACGACTTATCGCTATTTCGTTTAGCAGAACCATTGAAATTTAATCGATGGGTGAAACCTATTTGCTTGCCAGATGTTGGACGCACTACAATGGGTGAAGATTGGGTTTGGGGACCTGAAGATGATGTTGTATGTACAGTAGTTGGCTGGGGAGCTATAAGAGAAAAAGGACCAAGTAGTAAGTATGCTTTATACTCATGTGAAATTTGTAAAAATATTAATATATTGAAGGTGATCAGTTACGTGAGGTACGACTACCAATGCAAAAGCGTTGTAAAGAGCAAGATGATCAGGAAGCAGAGGATGTATGTGCTGGAGATACAGACGGTGGACGTGATGCTTGTCAGGGAGATTCTGGTGGTCCTCTCTTTTGTCCAAGTGTTTCTAATTCAAAGGAATGGTATTTAGCTGGTATTGTAAGTCATGGAAATGGCTGTGCTAGAAGCGGCGAGCTTGGTGCTTACACACGTGTAGCATTATATTTAGATTGGATTGAAATGGGTATGCGGCCAGAATTCTTACCAAAACAGCAGCCACTACAGTTATGTCCTGGTTTTGTATGTATATGGGGCGGCAAACGTTGTATTTCTCAAAGTAAGCGATGTAATCGAGAAGTAGATTGTCTAGGTGGAGAGGACGAAGTTGGTTGTATATATAATTTTATGCCAGATGTTGGTAGCGCTAAAAATATTTCCACAACTGAAAGTGATTATTTTCTTAAAAATAAAATGACAGAATCAGTTCCAGTCGAAGTTGTGACTACGGAAAGTACAATGGAGAACGCTGACGATGTATTAACAGCAATGACACAACATGAAGATGATAGTATGGCACAGCAGCATAATAACAACGAAACTGATACGAAAACAAATTTTTCTGAAATTGTTGGAAGTAACCATGCATTGGCTAACTTTAAAAAAACGCCGTTACTGACTGAGAAATCTTTAACTAACGAATCGTTTATACCTGAATTTCTTCTCGGTAGTAAACGTACAATGTTTTCTCAAATTGAAAACGAGACAGATGAAGTTACAACTCTAATATCTGATATTGATACAAATAGTGCGCCCCAGGTTTCCGTGTCTGTAGCAAATCATACTGAAGTGTCAACCACTACATTAGATGACATTTTAAATAGTAGTATGTTGGATGATAAATTGAACACAACTTTTGTATCTACTGCACTAACAATACTTCCAACTAATACAACTGCAATAATAAGAGCAACAACAACTTTAGCCACTGATACAACTGCAATAAAAACTCATAGCTTTGAGGTTACCACGAGTACTACACAACTCCACAATAGTACTACTACTTCGGGATCTACTTCGGGAACAACAACTGAAAGTAACGAGGATATAAGCAGCAATACGAAAGTACCAAATGTACCAGGAAAATTCATATGTAAAATGTATGTTTCCTTTAAATTAATTTATTAAATTTTTTTGATTTATTTGTTGAATTTAAGAATTCCTCAAGTAATTGGATTAGATCATCAGTGTGATCGCATTAGCGACTGTGAAGACGGAACAGATGAACAAAATTGCACGTGCAAAGATTATTTAAAAGGATCTCTGAATATTTTAATATGTGATGGAAAAACTGATTGTGAGGACTTAACCGATGAAGAGGATTGTGGTAATTTATAACATTCAAAAAATATAGGAAGAAATTCATAAAATAATTTTTTTTTTACTTTTTTTTAAGGAACTTGTAAGACTGACGAATTTTTGTGCCCACTTTCTAAAACATGTATATCGTTGACTAAACGATGCGATGGTGTCAGCGATTGCAAATTTCATGAAGATGAAAATCATTGCTGTAAGTGGACTGTATATTAATTGTTTACTGTTGTAGAAAAAATTATTTAAGAGTTATTTCTAATTGTATATCAGTTGCATTGACTAATGGTAAAGATGTACACTTCGATGCCAATAACCAGCCACAATTTAACAATGAAGGTATATTCTCCAAAAACACACATGGTGTTTGGCGTATAGTGTGTGCAGAGGAAACCTCATTCAATACTCACAACGCCAAAACTGCAGCGGAAATTTGTGCTTTGCTAGATTTCAATGGTGTCACCTACTATACTACCACAGTTCCTAAAAAATATGAGCACATAATTCCAATTGATCCGGATATTGAAACCGAAACCTCTCTACCACATTTATCTGATGCAAATATAAGTGATCGCTTTCCCAAACATAAACCGACACATTCTCGACGGTTACGTATAGAAAACACGAAAGAAAATTGTGTGAGTTTATACTTGAAGTGTGTAGCTAAATTGAATAAAACACAACCTGTAAAAACATTAAGTGCTGGTGAGGCTTTGAAGCCACTATCGGAGGACTTAGAAATAATGGAACCAACAGTCATAACTCATAATAAACCAAATGTATTTATAGAACCAGCACCTTCAGATGTATTGATCGAAAAGAAAGTTGAAATAATGGATAAGCTGGAAAAGATTTTGCATATAAAGCCAAATATATCTATTATGGTAAATGATAAGCTACATACAGCCATAGAAGAACTGCATTGGCCTTGGTTAGTTGATATTTACCGCAATGGTGAGTTGTGGTGTTTAGGTGTATTGGTGGACAAGCATTGGGTGTTGGTACATGAATCCTGTCAATATGGCATACGGTATGTATTTCGTAATATTAATGGTAAAATATTTAATAATTTTTATTTTAGTTATACCAATGATTATATTGCTGCACTCTTGGGTGGTGGAAAATCAAAGCAATTACCACATAAAAGTTTAAATGAGCAAATAAGACGGGTTGATTGTACCGAAGTAGTTCCAAAAAGCGATGTAATATTATTTCATTTAGAGAAACCAGTGCACCTTTCACATTTTGTCATGCCCACCTTTTTACCAGACATGTAAGTTATATATCTTCTAAATTATTTATTAATTCTTTATACGAATAATTATTTTCGTTTGTGTAGGAATCAGTACAACAAAACTGTTCAACCTGAATGCATATCAGTGCTCCATGAGGATAAATTTGGACGTATTAAGACAGTTGCAATAACTGAACACAAGAATGATAAATTATGTAATATGTCTAAACTATTTTGCTTTCAATTATTAGAAAGCAAGCCATCCGAAAAATTATTGCGTGATACTGCACTTAGTGCGGAAGATGTGGCAAGTGTATCAGAGGAATTCGATATGAGTTCTTTTGATGAAAAATTAGATAAAATTACACGTTCGTTATCACGAATTACAACTTGTACACAATTTGGCAATAAAAATATAGATGCTACAATTTCTCCTATTGATCAAGGCATCCTCATATGTCGCGAAGAGAAAACTGGTTGGTATCCGACTGCCTTATTCGGTTATAATAACACAAATTGCAGCAGTTTTAACCAACCATTCGCTGTGCGTACATTGGAAAGTGTTTATAATGTTATACAAAATATTACTGGTACGTTGTTTTAACTTAATGTGTATTTTATACAAAGCAACGTTTTATATAGTGCAATTGATATTTAGACAATAGCATGTGTTCGGCTCCTAGATCTCAGCCTTTTTGTGGCACTTATCGCTGCCCTTTAGGTGTATGCCTTACTTCTGAACAGATCTGTAATAAGAAAGAAGACTGTCATGACGGCAGTGATGAAACTGAAGACATTTGTCGCGAATTTAAAAAAGGTATAATAATTACAACATATAATTAAGTAACATGGATTCACATTTTTCTATCTGGTGCAGAGTGTAAAACATCTGAAATAAAATGTCGTTCGACTAGTGAATGCATATCAAAGAGCAAATTTTGTGACCATAAAGCTGATTGTGAAGATCTTACGGATGAGCCTACGATATGTTCCTGTTTTACATATCTCAAGTAAGTATTTTACTTTTATTTAGTCTGTTAGTCTGAAAATAATCTGTAAGATATAATATTAACATTTTATTTCAAAAGAACATTTTGTATTGATTTTGTTCAATAACAACAACTTATATTACTTCTTATATATTTCGTAAGATTAATTATGAAATTTTAATATAGTTCATTTAATTAAAAAAAAATTACTGAAGAACAATAAACTATATATTAAAAGATAAAGTTGAACAAATTTTGTAGAACTTGAACTTGGCATAGAAGGACAGTGGCTACGCTCTTCTATACCCAAATTGAATACAGCTGGAGTATATAAGCGTATCCAACATTTTTCCGATTTTCCTATTTCCGATTTTAATTTAAAGTTCTTTTTTGTGAATTTGTAATATATAATATATATTGATCGGAGCTTTATTAATTATTAGATATTAAACGAAGTGCGTACTTGCAAATGAATTTAATATGAATTAATGAATGAATTAGTGAAACAATTTGATTGTCTTAAATTATTTAATTGCAAAAATAGTTTTTGGGACTCCCTTCCTGTTACGCCCATATATATACATATTTTAAGTTGGTCTACTAAAGTAATCAATTCAGATTACTGAATATCATTTCCTTAAAATTGTTGAATACTTCATTGTCGGGAAAAGATTTTTCCCCTAACAACGTACCTTGAAAATACTAAGGCATAACCTGACTTTGTTTTTGGGTAGAGTTTATTTTGAAATGTTTTAACTTAAAAAATATTTAAAATGAAAGTCTATATCTCATAACCTTATATCAAAAGCAAATAAAATGTATTATTCGTAGAGCAACAGATCCTTCTAAAATTTGTGATGGCATTAGAAATTGTTATGATAAGAGTGATGAGAGCCCAGCTTTATGTAATTGCACTGAAAAACATTATAAATGTGGAAAGTGAGTATAAGATATATTACAATAACATTTCGCTATATTTGTATATAATTAAATATATATATGTATTTGCAGAAAATCAAATGAATGCATACCGCGGGATTTTGTATGTGATGGAGAGCCTGACTGTCCGAATGGTGAAGATGAAAGGTATTGTTTTGGTATTGAAAAACCAAATATATTTAGTTTACCTAAGAATATGCAAACAAATCCAATGTAAGTAATTTATTTTTAACATTATGTTTCAAATAAAGTCTTGTATATTTTACAGTTATTATACTGGACCAGCACAATATGGTCAGGTAATTGAGCAATCTTATGGAATTTGGCATACTAAATGTTTTCCAAAAAGTACGCCACCTAATACCTACGAAGTAAAACAAATATGTAAAAAATTGGGTTATAGTCCTTATCGTCATCCACAGTATCGAATTATAGATGATGCCGCCAATGAAGTTATTGATACAAATGAATTGCCAGATCAGCGTGGTCGTACATTTGGGAATGATAGTTTGATTGGTAAATATCGTACTGCTACTAAAGCAGTTATTGTAAGCAAATTTTCTCCATTATATTTAAATAACGATTTGACACTTTTCCTGAAACCAAGCCGACCAATTGCGGAATTAGTGCGTTGGAATGCTACAGATTCTAGTAATTGCTATAGACTTGAAATTAAATGTGCTTAATATACTACATATATTATTTATATATATATATATATGTTATACATATGTATAAAGATATTAGTAGTGATTAAGCGATTATTTTTATATTAAGACATTTTTATACTTTTATAGAAAACTGAAATATGTTTATAATATGAACAAAAAAAAAAAATAAAAATATAAAATAATTAATTATTCGTTACCTTTTTAACTATACCTATACCTATAGCTTTTAAATTAGAACCAGTATCTGAATGTTCCGTTTATCGCAATATTTATTTGTTATGTTATGTTATTTTTATTATATCAAAATTTTCTAATATAATATTATTTTTTCCAATTTGTTTTTTTCAAGTTTTGTCTAATAAGTCTTATACTGTTAATTTTTTAAAATGATCGATTTGTTTGAATTTTGATTCCAAATATATTTCGCTCACTGCTGCTTATTTTTGAAAAAAATGTTGGTGTTGGCATTAAGATCTGTTAACCTTCGTCTTTCAGCATTACACTTGATAACTGATAATATATTATTTTTTATAAAATTTGTTTCAACTTCCTTATGTTGTAATCAAACTAAGAATCGGATATCTCTGAGTTGATAGATATCTCCTTGGTGCAGCTGAAATTGGATTTCCTCAATGAAGGTAAGATTAGAGCCACATGTTAAAAAGTTACTTGTCAGGTATAACTACGTCCATTCTCAATATGTGATTCAACTGTAACTGTAGTCTACATGACGTCACACATCTGTTTTCATACTTAAATGTGTACACTAATTTGATCCCTATTGATTTATGGCTCCGAACCATTGAAATGGAAAGATTTCTTTTTCTAGATCAACCCATTTTATATGGTTTGATATTTTTTTATTTCATTGTAAGTATCTTGTTAACTCAGGTTTTTGGCAACAACCTCATCACATTACCCCCCTAAAGACTCCAATCATATTATTTCACAACACTTTTCAATAATTGATAAATAAATAATTAATAAGTAATTCAATTGTTGACCAACTAGGTAAATAATATATAACTAAATAGAAATAAGTTTTTAATACTATAAATTATTAAGTAATTATATATTCGTTAAATAAATGAATAATATTAATATAGCAATTAACTAATGGATTAATAATAATATATTAATTATTTAGATGTGGAACTATATATTTAATGAATATTAAATATATCTCCAAGTATTTACTTATTTTTCTCTTTTGATATTACAAACAAAACAAACATTGTGCTCTTTTACGGCCTGTCTTCATCGTTCGATCCGGTGATAGCATTTTCTAGTTCATTTAAAGTTTTTGTATCCTTAAAAATATTGTCTTTTCATTACATTTTTGTTCAACCTACTTGCTGTCATAGGTTTAGTATAGAAAATATTTTTCGGGTTTTTCTCTAGACCTACTCTTACAACGTGGACAGCTTATCGAACTCTCTGTACTTTAATAAATGTTACAAAACTTTATTTCTAGTAATTCTTTCTATTTATCTTTTTGTTCTCGTAGTAAAAATATCTTTGTTCTTTTAAATCGTCTAATAGATTTAGCTAATTATTTTCTTTGCAAATATCGGGAGGTTTTATTTTTCTCTTTGTCATTGTCCGGATTTTGAATCTGTAAACAGCACCAGGCTTAAATTTTATTATTATAATTGTTTTGTTCAGATTTTAGAAAGTCTGGTTTTTGTAATACCATCTAAGTTGTCTGCAGTCTGTGGTTTATTGTGAGTTTGCAATTACATATTGTCTATATTCACTAACGTACTCAATTAATCGATTTTCAATTAATTGATAAGCTGAATTAATTTTTTAAATAGATATTAATTTGTTAAATAATAAAAGAATAAAACTAAAAATTTAAAAATTAATAAATATTATATTATAATTAAATGATATTATAGGAGTTAGATTAAAACAGTAGCATATTAAAATTTTATTGTAAATGTTTTATTGTTTTTAATGCATACGTACTTATCAAGTATGTATACAATAATAATAATTAATTTTTTATTTTTATTTTAATTTTAATTTGTTATTTTAATTGTAGTTTTTTATTTTAATATTTCAAAATTAATTTTTTTTCATGATTTTAGTATTATTATAATAATTTTTTAGTTGTAGTTTGTTTAAGTATTAAAAACATTTTAAAATGTATAGAATATAATGTTGGGAGAATTTATTTATATAAATTTATTTTTAAATTATTTAAGAATATTTTATATATATTTATTATATTTTAAGTTTAGGCAAATCATTTTGTTAAGTAAACTTGTATTATTTTGTTATCAGTGTGTAGTAGTTTTTACGGTACAAAGCGAAATTAATTTTATATATATTTATTTAATTTTTTTAAATTTGAGTTTTCAAAAATAAAAAAATAAAGTTCAAAAAAAATTTTTTTCATATTTTAAGTAAGTTTTTAAAATTTGTATAAATTAAGAGTAATAATTTTTTTTAGAATATTGTAAGATTTCATAATAACAAATTTAGGTACTTGGGACAGTTTATTATTATTAGAGCAAATAGTTTCAATACAATATATATTAATGCATGATGTTTTATTATTAAATGTGCATGTTATGATATTAACAATTTATTATTTTTTTTTATAAATAGTGTTATTTAAATTGCAAAACGGGTTAATTGGTCAGTTCATTAAAATAAAAATTATTGGTGTTTATAATATAATATATATTAGATATAGTCTCACTATATTTGCGAAATTTTGGAAGTTAGCTAAAGATAACTATTGAATAAAAATAAAAGTTCTTCTCCTTAAAATCGGAAATCCGGTAATAATTTGTTATTAATGTAAAAGACTACTATATATAGTAGTGAGCACATAAGTAGTGAGTAGTCAGCACATGAGTATGCTGGAGATTACTTTTAGGGGGATCATTATACATTCATTTTGCCCTCTGGTTGTTTAAACTATTACTTTGGACTTATTTCAAATTTGTTTAAAGTATTTAGAGTATGTTAACAAATTATTATACATTTTCTAATTACGTTAAACATATATAAACAAGGTTTCTATTTTTAATTATTTTATGTACATAATAGAATAGGATATAATGGTTAATGGAACTAAATTCTATATTACATATGATTAGTAAAATAATAAAACTAATTTTTTAAACTCCAAGTCCATCATATACTCTATTTCTATTTGCTCTAATATGATTTTTATGTTTCGATATTTATATCGTAAATTATAGTGCAATATTATTAATATTTTTTTTAGTCTTAACAATTTTTTTTTTATTTCAATATAAAATTTAATTAAAATCCGCATAACTGACATGTTTTTTGTAATTAAAAACATTTTATCATATTTTCGATTTCTTATACAATATTAATACTATAGCATACGTTTAATATTCATAAATATTGTAACATAGTATTTAGTCTTTGGCATTTGAATACTTTGAATAAAAATGTTTAGGCAACATGACATAAGTAATATAATAACAATTGATTAGATAAAAATATAATATTCATAATTATAGTTTAAGTAAATATTTTTGATATAAAACAGTAAGGGTTTAAAAATGCAATAGAAGGAATTTAGTTCATTAATTCGTATTAAGTATTTATATAAATTATTATATTATAAAAATTATTAGTTTGAAAGTTCATATGTTATATTGAATGATTTAATTTATTTCGTTAAAATTTTATAATCACAATATTAAATTCTTTTAAAATTTCATTTTAAAAAATTTTTTGCTAAATAGTTTCTTAGTTTAAATTTAGTTTTGTGCTCTAAGAGGAAGGGAATATAGAAAGCTTTCCGTTAATGATTTGATTTAGTGTAATAAATAGTTAGTAGTTATATTTTTTATATAATAGTTGAGTTTTGCCTTATTCTTAAAGCGTAAATGAAATTACGCAAATGTTATTAATAATGTATTACGTTTCATTTTAATTTTTTAAAAAGTTCTATATATAATTCTTATTTTAAAGTTAGTTATTTTGTAATAACACAACCTCAATGGTACTAAGCATATAAAATTAAGTTGTGCTTTTTGGATCCATTAATAGGACGAAATACAGCTGTCAGTTGTCAGCTGTTATATGTTGCTTTCAAAACTAAAATTATCAAATAAGCTGAGTTTTTTTTTATTACATATAAGACTAGCTTAGATATCAGTAAATATAAGTTACAGTTACATGTTTATGATTTTATAGGTTTAACATTTTGTAATTAAAAAGTAATTTTTTATATGAGAGCAACTTAGAGAAAACATATCGTTCAAAGCAAGTAAATATTATAGCTAAATAGTTAGCAAAATATTTATAAAGTATTATTATTATTATTTACGTTGTCATGAAACACAAGTTTTACATATTTACATTATTTCGATATTTGTATCGCTTTTTTATGTTCACTATCTAAGAAATCGTTATGATTACAAAACGTATCGATTAAAATTATTTTAATTGGTTATACACTAAATATTAGTTGGTGCTTTGTTATATACAATATTTATATATTTTTATGTGAATATATATTTACAAAATAAATTAAGTACGGTTAAAAATGTATATATTTACATATAAAAAACAACACATTTTGAATTACGAATTTAGACAAAAAAAAAGGAACAAAATAATAAAAGTAATTAGTTTTACAAACAATGACTTATAGTAATTTAAACTTATATATAAATAATTTTGTAATTTTTTTAATGATTTGAATCAGTGCTCTATAGTATGTTATTAAAGTAATTTGTAGTTGTTGTGCAAAGGTTTGGAGTAACTTATGATAATAATGCAGTGAACTAAGTTTTAGTATATAAATAGTGAATAAATGCAAACAGCTATGTTTACTAGGTCTTTTCTTGAGCTTATATTAGTTATTCGTATATATGTCGGTTAATTTATATTTACCAGTTAAACAAACGTAAATGGTTTTTTATTTCTTTCTGTATTATTGAAGAACGTATAAAAAAATAATAAACTCATAATTGTTTCTCCAACTATATACTGGCAAGGCGAATTCTATCATGGCTAGGTGATTTTAATCACGATTAAATGAATTACTTAACATTAAGCAATACTTGTAGGAAATGCAACGAACCGGATGCAAAGGAAACCCTGGAGCATCTGCTTTGTAACTGCCTGGCTCTCTCGAGACAAAAATATTTGGGGGCTCAGTTTTACTGGAACACATACGTGAGGTTTCGCTAAAAAATTAAGACTCTGATCTGGTGTCGCAATGGACCTTAATGGTCTACGCGTGGGTTTTTTGGTTTGCCAGCATAACCTAACTTAACTTTAACATGCAACAACAATTAAGACATCATGACTAACTGATAAGACTTGATATTATATTGGTTTAGCTAAATAAACGTCCAATTTTCTCTTCAAATCTTTATCAAATATAGTTTTTTTTGAATTTTGTATAGAATGCTATATTGTTTATCTTTCGAAACATGCATTGTTTTAATTTCAAAGAACATTTTGTATCAAACAGCTGCCATACTTTAAAACAATGAAGGCGTTTCATTTAAAATTTAAGATGTTACTCTATTCGCAAGGCTATATAAACTGTATATTTATAACAGTCGATGGCCATAAGTAACAAAATAGGTAACAGGTTCTATATATCCCAAGCCGAATTATATACACTGTATATTTGTAACAGACGATGATAGTTTTTTGGAACCTTCAAAAAAAGGTTAATCAAAATTATATCTTGATGGGGTTGAGCATCTGCACAATAAATGCAATTGATTAGTGCTCATCTCTCTCTTTACAGAATTTGTAAAGAATCAGAGGGGGATTTAGTTACAAATACAATTGTCTGTGCATACTTGCCTATTGGGCAATGGGCAGATAATTTTCCTAAATACGTTTTCACTCAACTAAATTAGTTTGCTAGTCGTAACTGTGTTTATAAATGCTTAGATATAATCAAGTCCTTGTTCAAGTGCTCCAGTTTTACAGCTTAGTGTGTGTGTTTTTTTGAGGAAACAATCATACATCATAGACAATACTAAAAATAATAATAGGTTTAAGTTATAATGTGTATTAAAATTAATTTTTTTGTGTAATAAAAAATTAATTAATTATGTATATTGTTAATAAAAACATTACTTACAATATAAAAATAAATATATGTAAATTTTAAATTAAAGCATATTATATTTCGTATAAAGATTTATACATTATTTCAGTTATAGGATATTTGTTTAAACATTTTTTGAAATGCGTTAAGCTGTCTTAGTCTGTAAATCTAATTTTAAATTTATTTTGAAAGCTTAATATATTTTATAAATAGGATACCAAAATTAATAACTATAAATATCTAAAAACTGAGTTATGTATTTTTGGTCATTATTTTTTACTATTCTAATTGTTAGTTGCAATAAAATAATATAAAGAAGTATAAAAATATAAAATAAGTTAATCAGTAGTATATAAATTAAATAAAACTAATAAATGAATTCTAAAATTTTTTGATTAAAAAGCAAATATCTAATTAATTAAATAATAAAAAAAACCAATAGATTTATGCATGAATATTTTGCTCCTAATAGTAATTTATAATATGATGATAGTATAATTTTTTTCAACAAAATTGTATTATAACTTTAATAATGCTATAGTTATATAATTTTTTTAATATAATTGTATAACTTTTCCATAGTACTTTTAAGTTACTTAAATGGATAAATGAAACAAACAAAAAAACATTTTCATTTTAAAAATATGAACATTTATTTTAATTAGATATCTAACAAACTTATACAGAAATAAATAATTTAATTTAAAAATATCAACACATAAAGATATTACAATAAGAAATTAAAATAATTTCGAAAACATTTCTTCAACCAATAACAATTTTTGACATGCAACATAAAATATTGTGACTGAATAAATAATGTAAATAAATACTAATATAATTTTATGTAAATAATAATAGACAAAATATAATAATTGTTTAAACAAAGATCTAATTGTTTACGAACAGTAAACATTTTTTTGTTAAAGTAAATTGTATATAAATTTAAAACATTCTAAAAACATTTAACATATTAACTATATAACATAGATATAAAATTTTTAGGACTCAAGACGTAATGTAGTATCAATAGCAATGCTTTTGATTTGATGAACTAGCATAGTTTAAATGAAAATAATATTTTAATAATATTATTACCGCAATATTATAATAAGAAACTAAAAAATTTTTAAATTGATTTACATATTTATATAATATAAGTATGTCATGGGTGTATTAGCTAGCAATGCGAGTAAAAATTTTACAGTTGTTCACTGGGTAAATTAAAAAAAGAATCTAAACACATTTTGAAATGCATTACAATTTAAGTACAAATATATATAAAAAATAATTTTTTTAACTAAATTACAATTTATAGAAATTATAAATTAAAAAATTAAATTTGAAATATTAATACACGTATATTTAAAATAATTACGAGATTATATGTCTGAGCTGTTGATGTGTACATTTTACAAAAATTAACATAAAATACAAAAAAAAAATTTGTTTTTGTTTGTCAAATTAAAAATAATTTACATAAATTTTTTGCACAATTTACAATTTTTTTAAATATTTTCCTAATTTTTCAAAAATGGTATTTTAAAAACAGATTTTTTTGAGCTATCAGCAGTGTATTCGCTTTTATCTGATTCGCCTGATAATGGGGGATTTTCTTGCATACGATTAATGCTCGCCGGCAGTTGGAGATTCATTGGATCATGTAGACGGCGTAAGTCATATTCGATTTCGGCAATTTGGCGTTTCAGATTATTGTATTGTTCAATGTCGAATTTTCGTTTTTTGGCACGTTTATACATTGTAAGGAGGTATTGGCGGTCTTTAATATCGCTAAAGTTATATTCCTATAATAAAAAAATAATTAATTTTTATAAATGTGATTTGTTAAAATGCTTTAATAATGATGTTTATGTACCTGTTTTGTAATGCAATAATAAGCGTACATAGCCATGGCTGTGCCATAAGTAACAAAATAGGTAACAGGTTCCATTATATCCCAAGAATATTCCCACCATGTTAGTCGTGCCAATATGCCAAATTGCACTGACATTAAAGTTAGACCAACCCAAGTCATTATGTTTATTTTACGTTCCGCTTGGGAAGCTAAGTCCAGTTTTTGCTATAAAATATATATAAACCACAATTTGATTAACGTAAAATAAGACTTAATAAAAAAATATATATATTCTGATAAACAATAATACAGTTAAAGTATGATATGTATAGAGAAGTTACACAAATAGAAAATTGCAATAACCAAAGTGTCAATTTATTGAAAGCAATTATACCACTATAATTTATTATAAATACAGATTATAAGGGTAATAAGGGTATAAAAGGGACTGCGACCAGTGCCGCACTAAGGCTTCCTTATCTATGTAATCTTAAAGAGAGCAATCTGACAGGACACGCAAAGATTCTAGATAAAGTCTGGAACTCTCCGTGCCTTAAGGTCGTTGACAAGATGAATAGAAAATTAGCTTTCTCCAGGGCATTCAAAGTGGTTATTAGTGACCGATCCACCTGGAGAAACAATGAAATTAACTTGAAAAAGGGCTTACAATTATGATATACTGATGGGTCCAGAATGGAAGATGGCAGTACGGGAGCAGGAGAAAAACTGCTTCCATTTTTCAGGCAGAGGTCCATGCCTTAGAGCTATGTGCAAGAGAATGCATACGAAGGGAAACCCGTGGTACCAAAATATGCATCCTTTCAGACAGCCAAGCAGCTCTAAAATCTTTAGCAAAATACTTATTCCAATCAAAGTAGGTCTGGGAATGCTTTCAACTTCTCAACACCCTAGCATCGAGGAACTATGTTACTGTTAGTGAGTACCGAATAAATTTATCGTTTAAATTTATATGTTGTCTCGTTTGCAATAAAAGAATGCATTTGTGTAGATACAACAGCTGAAGAACCGTTGCCTGTTAGCCTGTTATTAGTTTGTAATAATAAATTGTGTTATTACATATGTATATATATTATTTATTACCTTTTCAAGAGGCTTAAGTTGATATTTCAAGTCTTCCAGTTTTTTTGTTAAGTCCTGTTCCCGTTCTACATGATATTCACCAACGTGTAGAGCTTCATAGAGCTAAAAGATACACATTTTTATATTTTAATTTATATTTTATGTAGAATTATTAAAATATTTTATATAGTGTCTTGAACTGTAAGATTAATGGTTTTACAAATACTACATGTCTGTTATATATATGTTAAAAAAAGAGTGTTAATTTAAAAATACACAATAAATATATAATAAATGTTTTTAAATTTAGTTGTAATTAGTTGAATATGATATGAATATGATTTAGTTGAATATGATACAGTACTTACTTGCAGCACCAATAATTTAATATCTCCTAATTTTTGTATGTCTTCACTATTTAATTGTTCTCTGGGTGGAGGAATTACTTCATATTTTTTATCATTTACTTGCAACCTAAAATTAATATATAATAATTTAATAGCATATTAAAATATATACTATAATAATAATTTAATAATTGTATAATATACATATAATTATAAAAATCCGTACCATATCATCTAATATTAATTAAATTGTATTCAATATATATTGCTGTTTTTATATTAGTTTTATTGAAGGTTTGCTAAAAGTAACATTTTTAACCAAAATTATTTATATTATTTATGCAAAAAACCTTGTTTCTTTGGTAGAATCGATCGATGATTGATAGAAGATCTTTTGTAATTTTTAATGTTGATATATTTTTTATTGTGTGTTGAATTTGCTGTATAAAATTCAATAATTGGATTTACTTTCATTTTTTTGTAAATATCTTATCTATTTCTGCGATCTATTTCTCTGTTATTTTAATATATTTAAAGTAGAATTTTCATGACAGTTTCAAATGAAAAAAAACTAGGTAGAGTTTTCACGTTTTCAAAAAGTTTCAATAAACCAGTCTCTGGCTTAATAGATATGAGCTATATGTAGCACATATCCTGCACAATGTTTAGCAATGGGATTTTCAAAATATCGTTAATGGCTTAATGGTAATGGACTTGTGAGAGGTGTGGGTATGCTATTAACATTACGATTATGAAGCGTTTTAATATATTTAAGGATGTTGATGGTGCATTTTTATATACTAGTCGTACTTTTTATTTATTATTGCTTTTCAATCACATTAAAATCACAGTACACACAATTCTGCCCGCACAGATTTATCTAAACTATATATATGCAGCCAAATAAATACCAGGTAGTTTTTCGATAAAGTCCATATTCTTAATTGTAGAAGAGACTTATAGTATTTTTGATTGGTAAATCTAAATTTAATCTAGATTTGAACTAGAAAATTGCACTAAAAGTGAATGTGAATTGGAAAAGTTACCTAGACTTACCAATTGAAAACGGCATTATGATCTATATAAAGCTATAGAGTACCAAAACGTATGTAATTTCTTCACAGTTGCTACTGTGATACAGGACCATATACGGTATTGTTTTATCCGCAACTAAATGTAAGAAAGTCTTTCCGTATACAGGACTACTGCAAAATTATCTAGGCAAAATTATTTGCTGCTAGGAAAGCAGTTTATCTTCACAATTTTTCTTAATAGGTTTTTGATTAAGACTTTGTACATCAGTAAGATAAAGAACAACACCCTTTTGCCATATAATTCTTTTCGTTTGTTAGGTTAAAAAATCATCAAAAATGTAAATAACATTTTTAGGAAATACCTTGTATATATGTAAACATTTTTGTCAGGCATTATCTGTATTCAAATTGTTTTGATGAAACATATCGCCAAACAATAGTCCAGGCGAGTAATAAGTTATCATTCTTTGTCGAGTATCATCATTTTTTGATGCTTTATTACTACTTACAATAACAAACGCTTAGGGAGAAGAATTCAAGTCTCAAACAATCGCCAAACAATAATCTAGGCGAGTAATAAGTTATCCTTCTTTGTCGAGTATTATCGTTTGGCGATTGTTTATGCTGGCTGGGATATATCGAATGAAGTATTTACACCAATATTATTGCTCATACAAAAATACACAGATTTACATTTACTGTATACCTACAATGAACTTTATAAATTGATGGAAAGTTATTATAGAGTTATTAAAAATTTTTAATTTAAATATTTCATTTTCAATTAAATTTTATCGTCAAGGTAATTTGACATTCTATGCTAAAAATGTGAGACTGATAAAAATACAGAATTTAAAAAATTGCGTGCTTGTATTTTTGCATAAAAGAGACGTTGCTAATTTAATGTTGCTAATTTTAAGATAAAAATTATTTAAATTGCCAAATAAAAAAGTAACGATGCGTTTCAATTTTCCCTGTAACCTTCAGATTTGACTTAGCTTTCGCACATTTGCGTCTGTATTAACTCCATATATGACTATTTAAGTAAGTCACTTTATGTAACAACGCCACATGCCAAAGCGTATTTAATATTTCCACAATTTCGACATGTAAATCAGTCTACAGTTGCGAAGTCTCATGAATAATGCCCAAAAAATGCGATTCTATCCTTTCGAGCTGTAAAAACATGTCTGTTGTTAAGGGTAACACACGTATGCCACGCGCTCTAATTCCAGTCAACATTTTTGCATAAAATCCGCCATAATTTTTGTGGTTCACCATCAAATTTATTCAGGCACCTCTCACTTAACTTAACTCAAAGTATTTCAATCAAATTTTTTTTTTTTGTAGAAGGTTTTGATATTGAGATTATTACAGGCAACGGAACGATTTTCGTCAGTTGTTGAATAGGTTTCAAAAATTGTATCAAAATTACAAATTTTATGCAGCCTTTTTACTGAGTATGGAAACAATTTACACATTGTATGGATTTAATTAAAATTATTTTACGTAAACAAGTTGAATTTTGCAGTATTCACTTACCAAAATGGTTCATCCATTAGGCTTTCTATATTACTCGTGGACGAAATTCTTATGCCGCTTTTGTTAAAAACATTCGCTCTATCTATGCCACGGTCTTCAATTTTTAACATATTTATCAGATCGCCAACTTTGTGCGAGATAGGCTTTAGCGCAAACCGACATTTTTCGTCCCTACTAGGAAGCGGTACTGTTAGATGTGGCAGTCCTTGTATGTATTCAACTTCAACAACACCTGTTAAATAATAAGAAATAATAAATAATATAATTTATTAATTATTAAATATTTGGATAAGGTTTCTTTTTATAAATGATCTATATTTTCTGAAATAATATACATAGGTGTTGTTTATTTATGTGTTTTAAGTGCAAAAATAACAATTTTTTACGAGACTCTCTCTGAGCAACAGTTTACAGACGAAAAAAAATATTTATTAAAGAGCGTGTTATATAGAGCGTTACGGGGTTCGTCAAAATTGTTTCTTTTCGACTTTGATGAAAATGCATGTTAGGTAGAATGTCATAGAAATTGTGATAATTTGCTTCTAAAAAACATAAATGTTGATATTTATTACTGAACAACACTGTTCTGCTTAAGGGCCAAAGCACAGATAGCCTCGGCTCTCATTAACAATTTCAATTTTATAAATTGCATTGAAAACAATAACAATTTTGCTTATAACGAACCCACGACACTCTATATAACATGGCTCTTACAGATTTTTATAGGAAATATTTGGAGTTACAACCACATCGAATGCGCTATGAAACATCTTACGTTAGAACACATTTGGCAAGAAGATGAGCTCACACCTTTATATATGTAGTTCTATGACTTTATAAGATCGTTAGAAGATCATCATTATGGTATGGTATCGTATGGTATATAACATCAGTGTGGAATTATCGATTGATAACCAAGATCATTATTATTAAAAATTGATAACCAAACATCAAGACAAATCTTTTTACTATGAGTACTAAGGTACTAAACAGAGCATATCGTAGAACTGAATGTTGTATCAGTTGTGTCTTGATAATTAACCATTGTGGTCCATTTAATGCCACAGAATCTTATAAACAACCAAATCGCTACGTTTTTAGCCCCCAACCTTAGAGTTAACATATTTTATAATGCAAATGGATATAGTTTAAAATTTCTTCAATACCTCGTTAGATTACATAAAGTTGTTGCTATTAAAGCAGCAGTAATATATTAAATATTTTTATAATTGAAAAATCAAGTTACTTAAAAATCTATGAGTCCAATCCGAATTATATCCATCACAATTTTTCACTTATATACATATATGAACGAGGTCTTGATGTAGTTGAACAAACATTTATATTCTCTAATATTTCGTGATCACAGCTTTATACAAACTATCGTTAAACTATAAAAGTTAAGAGATGTTAAAAGAAAAGGTCTTGATATGATCATAATCCCTTTTTGTTCAAATATCTTTGGATCTAACAAAAAATTTTACACTAAAAGAACTTTGTTTAATGAAATCTATTTGGTTATTTCAGCAAAAATGTAAGGTTATATGAATTAAGTGTAATAAAATTTCTTTCACATGGCTTGAAATTGGAGAAGTTTATTTGAGTTGAAATCCTATTAAGTCGAGTTTTATTAAATTCTCTATGTAAAGCACTATTCCAACTTTATCTGTAAGAAAAAAAGGGTTCAACATGAGGAAAGATCATTTGAAATTTCAAAGTTACTAAAGCGAAGCTTCTATCTCAGAGAAGTAGTTAACTTCAAATTTGGAAACTTTGACTCCGTATCTAAAATAAGTACATATAAGTATATGAAATATATGCGTATGTTGGAACTAAATGTGTACAATTTAAATTTAAGATTGGATTAGATTTTAGACGGGTTGGGAACTTGTCACCATGTCATTACATCCTTTGAGGATTATTGTGACATATCTACTTTAGTTCCAAAAACGAGTAGCAGTTAAGAACGCCATTATGTCCTTTGGAGAGATGTTGTCTAATTCCGTTTTAAGTGGTTAGGCGGTTGATAAGTACCGAAGTCTGAGTCTGGCGAGACTTTCCCTGTGACACAGAATGTGTTCTGCTGTTACCTCTTCTTCGTAACATAGTCTGCAGCTATCGTCTTTAGTAATATCTAGGCTTGATAGATGCTTTTTTACTCCGCAATGCCCAGTGAGAAACCCTGTGACAAGTCGGATGCCACTTCTGTTTAATATTTGAAACTAAATAATTATTTGAGATGTCTGCTTTATTTCAAATGTTTCACATTCAAAAAATTTTAAGTAATGCTAAAAGGACTTAAGCTTTCACTTAACTTTTGATAAATTTAAAATTTTAAATTGTATCATTTAAAACTAATATATAGTGTATGCAATATTACTTTGTTTAGTGCAGTGCACTTACTATTAATGTAATAATTTGGCTTCTGAACACTTCAAAAATCAAAATTTCAAAACCAATTTAACTGCAGGAAATAGTTTCAAGCCTAATAATATTGTCAGTTAGAATATGTGTTCATACGGCCAAAATTTTGAAATTTAACATGTTCAATATTCATGACTCCTGAGAACCAATTCCATATGGATTATGTATCTACAAATCATTTTGTATGCACAAATAGTGCTTTTAAGTATGTTTTGCATTCATGCATTTGTGCCAACTTTGATTTATTCAGCAACCAACTACCCGTAGTACAATTTTAATAGAAAGCACATAATTGCGGCATAATTTCATGAGCAAGTTTGTATCTATATATTGCTCGTTAGGCATTATTCATTGACAGAGATGAATTTTAAATGGAATGGAACACTGTGTGTGCTTGGTAAAGGAATGAATTATCGAAATGATATAATTTTTGGTATGACAATTATGGAAAATTTTAGCTGGTGTAAAGTTAACATTAATTAAGTTATATTAAGTTTGAAATTATATTTAATTTAATTATGTGTATTTTTTTATATGCTGTATTTCGCTTAAAATATACAATTTAATTTCTAATTATAATAAATATTTAGGATAAATTAGTTGACAAAGAAATAAATATTCGTCTTTAAAATAATTTAACTACAAAAGATACAAAAAATTAATATCAGATATTATAATTTTTTATATAAATATAAAGTACATAGTTTCCATCAAACATTGGGTTAAAAAGCTGAAAATATGATCGAAGAAGAATACTGAAGCCGTTTAACAGTACTGACAATTGGTTAATTGCCTGCATTGGTTTCTTTAGATAATATATTTTTAAAAAACTAGTGTATAGTTAAAAAATATATTTTATGTAAAAATGTATTTATTTTCATTGCAAAATATTTTTAGTTTTTGATATATATTTTTCATTCTACTATAGGTTAGAGTTAATATGTGACAGATTCTACATTGATGGACATTAAATATCATTAGGCCTCTCGAATTAATATAAATTTGAAATGGTAGTATATTTATTGAGTGTTTTTTTTCTTTACAAACTGCATTCTAATTGAAATATATTTGTTATCATATGCAAACTGTTTAACATCTTGGCCGAAAGTCGACAACTTTTAAGAAAAAATAAAAGAATATTTTAGGGACTGTAATAATGAGTATATTGATATCATACTACTCGCGCTTAAAAGGTTTTAAGTATTAGAATGAGTTATATTTATAATAAGGTGCCTCTGTATAAAACTGTTTTATATTATATATTATATAATATATTTTATCTTTATATATATAATTCTTCTGTACGTGTGTTGACAGTGAACTCCTCCTAAACGGCTGAACCGATTTTGATGAAATTTTTTGTGTGTGTTCAAATGGATTCAAGGATAGTTAAGATTCACAATTTGGTCCACTGGATAATGTTCTTTTAATTATTATACAGTTTTTTGGTATCCATATACATTTATATTATATATTTAATATTTATTCATGCTTACTCTGATTTGTTTAAAAAGTTTAAAGTCTCTAAAATTAATCGTTCAACTATCCTGTTGAATTTTTAAATTCGCTGGATTTACCAGGCACCTAAGCTATGCAACGGTACGTGATTAGTCATAAAAAAAATTATGGGCAATGTACTTGAAGCTACAATTTCGACTGGCAAATTTGAAAGTGAAGCTGTTCTCTTGCCACGAATCCCAATGATCCCTTTAGACTCACCCATTCCATTCAGACGTCTGCAATTTCGAATTCGCTTGGCATTTGCCATGACTATTAATAAGTCACAAGGTCAAACAATGTCGATTTGTGAGATAGATCTAGAAAATCAGGTCTTTTCACATGGCCAATTATATGTGGCGTGTTCTCGCGTTGGAAAACCGTCAATTTTATTCATTTATACTCCTCAAGAATTGACTAAAAATATTGTTCATCAACTCGCATTAAGATGAAATTAAACAAACATTATTGATTATTACGAATTGTTTTTAGAAAAATTGATGTTATTTCAAAATAAAGAATAACAAAATTATTACATTATTTGTCTCTCATTTCTTACTTTGTTTAATATCATAATCGCTTAGTATATCATGCAGGACAACATCTGTCCAGTCCGCTAGTATTATATAAAACTTTTATAAAGAGGTTTTTTCGAACAGTAGTGAAATACAACAACAAAAATTTATTTTTTATATTATTTTAATTAATTGAATTTTTGGCTGACCATACAGCTGTTTCGAGTATTGCCAAATACCCATCATCAGTGGTCTTGGAAATAATTCTTGTATTTAATTATTCGTAAATAATTATTTTTTGAGACTACACGTACCAGGAATCGAACTCGGGTCCTGCCAAATGTGAAGCTCAGAATCAGCGCACCTTAACCCACTGTTCCTAAGCCGTACTTGACTTTTTTGTTCGCATATTTTTCTGGAGTTTTGTTACTATTACTATGAAAGTTTTTATTAACAATTTTACTTGCTGTGTTTATATTAGAACGAAATCATAAACCAGCTGTAGAATAATTGAATTAATTAATTAATTATAATAAAATTAATTAATTATAAAACTTTTATATTATGCATTATTTTTTGTTTATTAAATGTTAACTTTCATAATCTATTAAAGGATAATGATATAGTTTTCAAACTTAGTGGTATTTAACAAGGATAGAATAAATAAGCCCCTTGGAAATTTCAATTTACTTTACCTCAATTTACTCGAACTCGCACACGTAAACTTAATAGTAAACTAATGTAATATCGCTGTCACTTCATAACTATTAAGAATAAATTTTAAATATTTTGAACT